TGTACTTACCTTGCCTATTGTAGTCAGGCACGTGAAACTATAGTAGGATCAGGTTGAGGTGCATCTTACTCTTACGCAGATTGTTTATTTCATCATTTATTGCAGACACTAAGTCTGTGTTTCTCTGGCCTTCCTTCATCATCCTCCCAGTGCCAATACTGATAAAATACTTTCAAACTAGACAGAAGATGAGGAGGAAAGGGTGACGCTTGTCAGATGTAAAAATCTTTGTGGTTATTCTGAACATACCATGAACATACGACAGTTTCCAGTCTTCTGAATATGGCAGACTAAGAAATTAAGATACGTTGTGGAAGCTGATAATTTTTCCTTTCTGCTTCCTGTATGAATTCCACACTTTTTTTTCTTTATTGGTGCTAACTTTGATGCACATTACATTTATAACAACCTATGGCGATCCTATGTTGACATTGTCATAATTTCTTAACTCTGACTGGAAGATGAAGAACATTATATCTTCAGTAGGTTTTGTGTACTATCTTAATACATGTCTGCCATCCCATGGTTTTAAGTAAGTGTGTTTAAAACAAAAGTGTGTTTAAAACAACAGCAACCTTGCTTGTGGTAAAATTCCTGCAGAGAAGTGTTAAAGATCATGGATTTATTGATATATTTTCCAGCAGCCGTAAACTCACAACAGTCATACAGCTGCATTGTGGAGCATATGGCTTTTTAGATGTTGCTGGGACGGCAACTTTCATCTTTCCTCAATGGGCTGTGGTAGCTTGGGCTGATGGGTATTGCAATCTCACAACATTTGGAGGGCTGTTGGAGAGTTTGTAGAGTTACCAACAAATAATTTTAATAGTATGGATTCTTCAGGTCTTTTCTGATGTTTCCAGTAGTGCTTATGAGTTTGTCTGACTTACTAATTTGGTTTAACTTTCCTTGTTTTGTTCCCAGCTTTTTGATCATGTTGCTGAATGTTTAGGAGACTTCATGGAGAAACAAGAAATCAAGGACAAGAAGCTACCTGTTGGTTTCACGTTTTCTTTCCCTTGTAGGCAATCCAAGCTAGATGAGGTAAGAGCTCACGTTGTAGCTTTATTGCTGTGTGGAAAAGTTTAAGAAGTTGCCTGAATATGGGTTAGATAATTGGGCTATCCAAATTATTATTATTAAGTGGGTTGTTGTAGGTTTTTTTGGGCTATATGGCCATGTTCTAGAGCAGGGGTCGGGAACCCTTGGCCCTCCAGCTGTGGTGGACTTCAACTCCCACAATTCCTTGAGGCTCGGCATTCGCCCCAAAGGCTTACCTTGGCCCAACGAGGTTTGTTTGGCTCTTTTTCATGGAGGACGGGCAGCAAAGGGGGAGAGACGAGCGTAACGTAGCTGTGCAGATGGCGAGGAAGGATGCGGAGCCTACAGACTGGCCTCGGAGGGAGAGAGCGGGCGGAAACCCCTGCGGGCAACGCGCCTCCTCGCCGCTTAAACAGCGCAGAGCCCTTTCCCTCCAGCCTTCGCCTTCCCTTTTCCCCGACAAGCTCTGCACGACGTCACTCAGCCGGCGTCGTTGCTAGGGAGGGGGTCCATGCGGGGCGGGTGCTAAGGGCCGAAGCGGCGAGGAAGCGCGTTGCCCGCAGGGGTTTCCGCCCGCTCTCTCCCTCCGAGGCCAGTCTGTGGGCTCCGCATCCTTCCTCGCCATCTGCACAGCTACGTTACGCTCGTCTCTCCCCCTTTGCTGCCCGTCCTCCATGAAAAAGAGCCAAACAAACCTCGTTGGGCCAAGGTAAGCCTTTGGGGCGAATGCCGAGCCTCAAGGAATTGTGGGAGTTGAAGTCCACCACAGCTGGAGGGCCAAAGGTTCCCTCCTGATGTTTTGCCTGCATCTATGGCAAGCATCCTCAGAGGTAGTGAGGTCTGTTGGAACTAGGAAAATGGGTTTATATATCTGTGGAATGACCAGGGTGGGACAAAGAACTCTTGCTTGGAGCTAGGTGTGAATGTTTCAACTGACCACCTTGATTAGCATTTGATGGCCTGGCAGTTGTTTGGTGTGGCTTGTTGGTGCCTGGGGCAATCTTTTGTTTTTTGTTTGTTTGTTTTTTAATTTTTTTATTAGATTTTTCCGACACAAATATAATACCATCACACCCGCTCATTGTTAGAAATTCAGTTGCTAAATTACATTCTGAAAACATATCACATACCATGTATCACATATCACATTATAATTTCCTAATGCTCTTATCTGTCTCCCCTTCACCTTACCCTTGTGTCTTACGATTTTACACTCCTTCACCCCCCACCCATCCCCCTTCAGGGAACAGTATATACCTTAATTCAGATCTTAATTTAATTGGGAATACGATTTTTATTTGTTCCTTCTATCCAAGTTTTAATCGAAGAATCCCATTTTTTAAATAATTTTGATGGGGATACTAAATGGGAGTGCTTGAAACAGGAATCATCATTTTAACCATTTTAATTTTGCTTGATATATCCCAATTTTGTTTTTTCCAACTACACATCTGCTTGTTTATTTTTCCCCATAAGTTATTATAGTTAGATTGAGTTATACTGTTTAGGTTTTTGGGAATATATACACCCAAATATTTTATCTTCTTCTCCCCTAGTTTTATCCCTGTAATACTCTGGATTTCTTTTAACTCTTTAGGAGTCAAATTTTTGTGTAATGTTTCTGATTTTTGTATATTAATGGCCAACCCTGATAATTTCTCAAATTTCTTTATAGTATTTACAACTACCTTTATAGAATGCTCTGGTGACCCTAATAACACCATGGCATCGTCTGCAAATAGGTTAATTTTCATTACTTCTGCAATCTTTTGTTGAGAGAAAATTAGATGTCCTTGATTGTTTCCTCTCTGTTGTTTTGCTGTTGTAATTTTAGAGTTTTTTTTAATATTGGTAGCTCTAAAATTACAACAGCAATTATTGTATATAGTAAGAGGGAGCCCCTGGTGACACAGTGGGTTAAACCACTGAGCTGCTGAACTTGTTGTTCGAAAGGTTGCAGGTTCAAATCTGGGGAGCTGCATGAGCTCCTACTGTTAGGCCCAGCTTCTGCCAACCTAGCAGTTCGAAAACATACAAATGTGAGTAGATCAATAGGTACTGCTCCGGCGGGAAGGTAACGGCACTCCATGCAGTCATGCCGGCCACATGACCTTGGAGACGTCTATGGACAATGCCAGCTCTTCGGCTTAGAAATGGAGATAAGCACCAACCCCCAGAGTCAGAAAGGAATGGACTTAATGTCAGGGGAAAACCTTTACTTAACTATATAGTAAGAAGCATTGGCCTTTTAGTATACAAAGGAATCTGGTAGCACCTTGAAGGTTAACTGGGAGATTTATAAAATAGAATGGAGCTGATGAAGCAGAGTGAGTCTCCGAAATCTTATTCTACAAACCTGTCTTCTAGTTAGACTCAGGGTTCTAAAATATTGCTTTGAGCATTTATTGTTTTATTTATTTATCATGTCAGGAGCGAACCAAAACAGTTGTATTGCATTAAAAACAAACAAACAAACAAACAAAACACAAAGTTTGCAGGCTTGGTAGTCTATTAAATGTTCTTTGACCAGTAGCTGGCCACTTGGAGTGCCTCTGGTGTTGCTGCAAGGAGGTCCTCCATTGTGCATGTGGCAGGGCTGAGGTTGATGCAACCTGAGTATTTATTGTAGAGTTTTGTTTATCATGGATGTTCCATTATTGCAAATTGCAGTTGTCAGGAAAAAAATGAAACAATTTAATTAAAACTTGTTTCCTGTTGAGTGGTCTGGGAACATGCAACATTGTAGATTTGTAAAAGCGACAGGTGTATGAACTTGCTTCATACATAGATGTGAGATCACTAGGAGGTCCATATCAATGCAGAACCAAAATACATACATGCCCATCCTAACACAATTGCTGGAGTTCTGTGATTGTGATGCCTCCTGAAATACAGTTTTGTAAATGTGGCACGACTAAGCAGTAAAGTATGCCTATATCTGTTCAAACATATTATTTCCTCCAAAAGAAATAGAGCACTGCTGTCACACTTGAAAATTGGACCTTTACTTGCTTACTGTTGTATTGCAGCAGGTGGTCAGTGGTTTGCTCTTCTCCACACTCGCATGTCGAGGATTCCACTTTGTAGCCCCATTTCTGAAGGTTGGCTCTGCATCTCGTGGTGCCAGAGCGCAGTCTGTTCAGCGCCTTCCAAGTCGCCAGTCCTCTGTGTGCCCAGCGGGGAGTCTCTCATTTGGTATCAGCCATTGGTTGAGGTTCTGGGTTTGAGCCTGCCACTTTTGGACTCTCGCTTGCTGAGGTGTTCCAGCGAGTGTCTCTGTAGATCTTAGAAAACTATTGCTAGATTTAAGTCGTTGACATGCTGGCTGATACCCAAACAGGGGATGAGCTGGAGATATCTCTGCCTTGGTCCTTTTACACAGTGCAACATAGCCAACTTTTATATCCAATTTTGTCCCGCCTGACCAGCCATCCCCCGCAGAGGATTGTTAGATATCTTTTAGAGGACAAGTGCCACAGTGACAAAATTCCTTGCAGTGGCAACAAGGTTGAGAAAGAAACTAACTTCGGATAGGGATATTATTTGAAACCATGTATACTAATTTTGGAGACTGAGATGCGTCTGTGTACTGTAATAAATTGTTGTTTGTTTAAATGTTGTTGTTGTTGTTTAATTTTATTAGGGTATCCTGATCACCTGGACAAAGCGTTTCAAAGCAAGTGGCGTCGAGGGAGCTGATGTAGTGAAGTTACTAAACAAAGCAATCAAGAAACGAGGGGTAAGGGTTATCATGTATATTTACATACACATATATCATCTGGCTGACCTAGAACATACTTATAGCTTCCAGGCATTGCTGAATATATTTTTCAGACTCCAGAATTTTTAAATATTAATTTATTTTGTGACAATCGGAATCTCAGCAAAAGTATTGAGCCCAAAAGATCTTTATGTTGAGAGTCTCTCTCTCTTTTGAGCTCTAAAGACCTTGCTGTGGGAAGTATTATATGTCTTCCAAATATATCCATATTTAAAGAAGTCAGTCTGCTTTCCATATCCACAGATTCCTCATCCATGAATTCCACCATCTACAGTTGGAAAATATCTCCCCCCTGAAAAAAAATCTTCAAAAAAACCCTTAATTTTGTTGTTTCACACAAGGGACTATTTCACAGTGCCATTGTATATAATTGGATTTGAGCAGCCACAAATGTTGGTATTCATGGAGGGTCTAGGAAACAAACTCCAGCAGACATCAAGGGACCATGTATTTAAATGAATATGAACAATGTTAGCACTAGTGGGACATGATCTTCGGAGTGGCTGGCATGCATACATGTGGTATGCAAAAAGGAAGATCGAGAAACATTTTGGCAATCATTTTGTCAGATCTTCTCTGATCAAAATTTGGGAGAAGTATAAACCTAATCTGTACGAGAAAACGCCACCCTAGAAGCGACCCAGAGGAGAGATATCGACAAGCTGGAATGTGTCCAGAGGAGGGCGACTAAAATGATCAAGGGTCTGGAGAACAAGCCCTATGAGGAGCGGCTTAAGAAGCTGGGCATGTTTAGCCTGAAGAAGAGAAGGCTGAGAGGAGATATGATAGCCATGTATAAATATGTGAGAGGAAGCCACAGGGAGAAGGGAGCAAGCTTTTTTTCTGCTTCCTTGGAGACTAGGACGCGGAACAATGGCTTCAAACTACAAGAGAGGAGATCCATCTGAACATGAGGAAGAACTTCCTGACTGTGAGAGCCGTTCAGCAGTGGAACTCTCTTCCCCGGAGTGTGGTGGAGGCTCCTTCTTTGGAAGCTTTTAACAGAGGCTGGATGGCCATCTGTCAGGGGTGATTTGAATGCAATATTCCTGCTTCTTGGCAGAATGGGGTTGGACTGGATGGCCCAGGAGGTCTCTTCCAACTCTTTGATTCTATGATTCTATGATTCTATGAGAGAGATAGGATGGGAGAAATGGCCCAGATACAAAGAAATTATAAGGAAAAATATGGATAATTACATAATCAAGACACAAGATGAAATTAAAACATCATTTTCAGACATATAATGGTTTCAGTTCATTCAGCTTAAGGAAGCCTTCAATAAAGATAAAAAACTGGGATTTGATTCAGGAGATAAAATTTGGGACAGGATTATGGCCACTGAAAGAAAAGTGATTACTAAACTATATCGAGTCTTACTAAGCTGGGCAACAGAAAAAGACAAAATGAAAGCCTGTATGTTAAAATGGACGGCGAATATTGGACAGTCTATCAAAATTTTAGATTGGGAGAAGATATGGAACACTAAACTAAAATGGATTAACTCCAATGACCTGAGAGACAATTGGATTAAGATGATGTACCAATGGTACATCACACCCAATAAATTGGCAAAATGCTATAAAAATGTACCGGATACTTGTTGGAATTGTCGAAGTAAGAAAGGAACTTTTTCCACCTTTTGTGGATGCGTGAGAAGTCACAAAATTTTTTGAAGAGGATACACAAAATTGTCGAAAAAGTACTTGAATTAAGAATAGAAATGAAGCCAGAGTATTATCTCCTAGGGATACTGGACTTCGATATAGAAAAAACAAAGATAAGTTATTTTTCCACATGGCTACAGCAGCGAGGATTGTCCTTGCAAGGAAATGGAAAGATAAAGAAATGCCAACCACAGAGGAATGGACATCTGTCAGGGGTGATTTGAATGCAATATTCCTGCTTCTTGCCAGTGGGTAGGACTGGATGGCCCATGAGGTCTCTTCCAACTCTTTGATTCTATGATTCTATGATTCTATGACACTTAGACTACTAGATATTATGAATATGGACAGATTAACCCAATATCTGAAAGCCAAACAGAATATAGACTCAGCCAAAGCAGACTGGTCCCCAGTCCAAAATTACCTCAACATCAAGTAGATCACTGACTTCAAAGAAGAAGGGCCAACGATGTGATGTGGCGGCAAAAAAAGCCAATGGGATTTTGGCCTGCATCAATAGGAGCATAGTGTCTAGATCTAGGGAAGTCATGCTACCCCTCTATTCTGCTTTGGTTAGACCACAACTGGAATATTGTGTCCAATTCTGGGCACCACAATTCAAGAGAGATATTGACAAGCTGGAATGTGTCCAGAGGAGGGGATGTAAAATGATCAAGGGTCTGGAGAACAAGCCCTATGAGGAGCAGCTTAAAGAGCTGGGCATGTTTAGCCTGAAGAAGAGAAGGCTGAGAGGAGATATGATAGCCATGTATAAATATGTGAGAGGAAGCCACAGGGAGGAGGGAGCAAGCTTGTTTTCTGCTTCCCTGGAGACTAGGACGCGGAACAATGGCTTCAAACTACAAGAGAGGAGATTCCATCTGAACACGAGGAAGAACTTCCTGACTGTGAGAGCCATTCAGCAGTGGAACTCACTGCCCCGGAGTGTGGTGGAGGCTCCTTCTTTAGAAGCTTTTAAACAGAGGCTGGATGGCCATCTGTCAGGGGTGATTTGAATGCAATATTCCTGCTTCTTGGCAGAATGGGGTTGGACTGGATGAGGTCTCTTCCAACTCTATGATTCTATGATAAGACTCGGATGAACCAGCACTACTAACAATGTTATATGGAGGAGAATTATTAAGTAATTTACTAACCTTTTCGTACTCAACCCCCAACATCCACTCGGGCCCACCCCTCCCTCCCCCTCCCTACATATCCCATACTCCTTCCCTACAACCCTACTTTTTCTCCCCTCATCCCCTACCCCAATACCACTATTTTTAATGTATAATATACTGATGATCAACAACCATACAGATGTACCCCCAAACAAAACCTTTAATAAAGATTACACACACAGACATACAATGTTTAAATCCATTCTGAATAACTTATATCCTATAGTCCAATCATATAGATTATTATAGGGAAGTATTGAGAGTTTACAATTGAATGAGACTTACTCCCCCATCAGTGTGCCTAGAAATAATTACACAGCTCAACCTGTTCCTGGGGTTATTTGGGGCACTGATTCAGAAAATTTCTTTGGATAGACAGCATAAGCTCTAGTTTCTTAGATATGATTACCATGATTTTCCGTGGGCGAGCAGATTTGGTATATGTTCTGGATCTCAAAAACTAGGGCTGATAGGGGAAAACTTGTGCCATTTTTTGAATCAGTAGGTCAAATATACCCAGAAACAGGTTCGACATTTAAAGTTTTATGTGTTGGCCAGTGTTATATATTGTTGAGTTCCAGGGCCAGAGGGCTTTTTTGTTGAGTTCCAGGGCCAGAGAAGCAGATGGCGGAAACAGAAGAACGGCCTACCTCAGGGGAGCGTGCTTGCTCCATCCATGTTCAACATCTACACAAATGACCAGCCACTGCCAGAAGGGACAGAGAGTTTCATCTATGCTGATGATCGTGCCATTACTGCTCAAGCAGGGAGCTTTGAGACGGTAGAACAGAAGCTTTCCGAAGCTCTAGGTGCTCTTACTGCCTATTACAGGGAAAACCAGCTGATCCCCAACCCATCTAAAACACAGACATGTGCCTTTCATCTCAAGAACAGAGAAGCATCCCGAGCTCTGAAGATCACCTGGGAAGGAATCCCACTGGAGCATTGCAGCGCACCCAAATACCTGGGAGTCACTCTGGACCGTGCTTACCTACAAGAAGCACTGCCTGAACATCAAGCAAAAAGTGGGTGCTAGAAACAATATCATACGAAAGCTGACTGGCACAACCTGGGGATCACAACCAGATACAGTGAAGACATCTGCCCTTGCGCTATGCTACTCTGCTGCTGAGTATGCATGCCCAGTGTGGAACACATCTCCCCACACTAAAACAGTGGATGTGGCTCTTAATGAGACATGCCGCATTATCACGGGGTGTCTGCGCCCTACACCACTGGAGAAATTACACTGCTTAGCCGGTATTGCACCACCTGACATCCGCCGGGAAGTGGCAGCCAATAGTGAAAGGACCAAGGCAGAGACATCTCCAGCTCATCCCCTGTTTGGGTATCAGCCAGCACGTCAACGACTTAAATCCAGACATAGTTTTCTAAGATCTACAGAGACACTCGCTGGAACGCCTCAGCAAGCGAGAGTCCAAAAGTGGCAGGCTCAAACCCAGAACCTCAACCAATGGCTGATACCAAATGAGAGACTCCCCCCTGGGCACACAGAGGACTGGGCGACTTGGAAGGCGCTGAACAGACTGCGCTCTGGCACCACGAGATGCAGAGCCAACCTTAGAAATGGGGCTACAAAGTGGAGACCACGACATGCGAGTGTGGAGAAGAGAAAACTACTGACCACCTGCTGCAATGCAACCTGAGCCCATGCACAATGGAGGACCTTCTTGCAGCAACACCAGAAGCACTCCAAGTGGCCAGATACTGGTCAAAGGACATTTAATCAACTACCAAACTCACACATTTTGTATTTTCTCTGTTTGTTTGCTTTGTTCTGTTAGAAATGTAATATAATTGACTGGCTGCCCTGACACAAGAAATAAAAAAAAATATTGTAAAATGTTGTTTTTATGTCACAGCATTTGGTAAATGTAGTAGGGCTTTGTATTGTTGAGGGATGATTCGAACTCATATTACAAATGAAGGTCTCTAGCTGAAAGACATTTTGAGAAGATAAGAATGTAAGGATTAAACTTCCTGAGTCGTAATGAAGAACTACAATAATATGGAGAAAATGTTCTCCTAAGAGATCCTTGCTCTACTACCTGACCACTAGTGCAATAGAGCTTTCTTTCCATCTTGTCAAATCCTCTGCGATATCTGAAAATGAGCCTTGGACATGATCCCATCCTTGCAGAGCAGATTTCGGGGCAGATGGGAGCGGGAGTGGGATTAGCCTCTGTGTTCTGCTGACTGAAGCAGTTCTGTCAGTGGACGCTTCTAACTAGATTATGGCTTCAGATTTGAAATCTAGAATAGGTATTATCATGTGTTAGTAAAATCGTATTAGATACAATATCTTCTGTTTCGTTTTAAAGGATTACGATGCAGACATCATGGCTGTTGTCAATGACACTGTAGGAACAATGATGACCTGTGGATTTGATGACCAGCGTTGTGAAGTTGGCTTGATCATTGGTATTCACATTTGATTCTTTTTCTAAATATAATGCAAATATGGCTTTGTTTGTTTTGTTTTAACTCTACTGGTAAATCCCAATCCCTTCTTTTAAGGTACTGGCACAAACTCTTGTTACATGGAAGAAATGCGGCACATTGATCTGGTGGAAGGAGATGAAGGGCGGATGTGCATCAATACCGAGTGGGGAGCATTTGGAGATGACGGATTATTAGAAGACATCCGGACTGAATTTGACAGAGAGATTGACCGGGGCTCCCTTAATCCTGGGAAACAACTGTAATTGAGATTATGTTCAATGTATTGTCGAAGGCTTTCATGGCCGGAATCACTGGGTTGTTGTAGGTTTTCTGGGCTATATGGCCATGTTCTAGAGGCATTTTGGGTGGGACAAAGGACTTTTGTCTGCTGGAGCTAGGTGTGAATGTTTCAACTGACCATCGAATTGTGCCTTGCTTTTGTGAGCCGCCCTGAGTCCCCTTCGGGGTGAGAAGGGCAGGGTAGAAGCAACCAAAATAAATAAATTGATTAGCATTTAATGGCTTGGAAGTGCCTGGGAGAATCTTTCTTTGAGAGGTGATTTGATGTGCCTGATTGTTTACTCTCTGTTTTGCTGTTGTAATTTTAGAGTTTTTAAATACTGGTAGCCAGATTATGTTCATTTTCATGGTTTCTTCCTTTCAGTTGAAATTTCAACAAAAGTCCTTTGTCCCACCCTGGTCTTTCCATAGATATATAAACCCATTTTCCTACTTCCAACAGACCTCACTACCTCTGAGGATGCTTGCCATAGATGCAGGCGAAACATCAGGAGAAAATGCCTCTAGAACATGGCCATATAGCTCGGAAAACCTACAACAACCCTGAGATTATGTTATTAATGATCCTGACCACAAGAAGTCCAATCTGAAATTATTCCTCACAGCTGCTATATTTGCAATACTGGAAGTCTTGGATGATTATGACTGGTCTTATTAAGCTAAGGACTGCACAACCCTTTTGCTTTTGAATGCTGACCATTTGTTCTGGCCTTTGCAAAGGCTGTATTTGAACCATAAAGTCTCATAGTTAACCATAATTTTACTTTTTACCTGAACTGCGAGTTTTTGAACACGTTTAGATCTTAAACCAGGGGTCCCCAAACTATGGCTTGCGGGCCACTTCCGGCCCGCCAAGGGCACTTATCCAGCCCGCGGAGGAGGAGCACCCCCCCCCACACAGTGCCCCTCCCTTGTCTGGCTCACGCTGCCCATCGGGCCTGACGGATAGCGTGAGCCAGCCAAGGGCAGCTGCTCCGTGTGGCCTACTTATGCGTAAAGCATCCATTGGGCCTGATGGATAGCGTAAGCCTGCCAAGGAAGGAGCAGCCCTGCGCGGCCTTCTCGTGCGTAAAGCACCTCGCAAGGTGCTTTATGTGCGAGTAGGCCATGCGGAGGCTGCTCCTCCCTTGGCAGGCTCACGCTATCCGTCAGGCCCGATGGGCAGTGTGAGCCAGCCAAGGGCAGCCACTCCGTGTGGCCTACTTGCGCGTAAAGTACCTTGCGAGGTGCTTTACGCACGAGTAGGCCGCGCGGGGCTGCTCCTTCCTTGGCAGGCTGACTCCGTTCATTGTAGCCCGATGGGCAGGGTGAGCCAGCCAAGGGAGGCTGCCCCATGCAGTCATGCCGGCCACATGACCTTGGAGGTGTCTACTGTGGACTCAAACAATGATGGATCTGGACCAAACTTGGCACGAATACTCCATTTGCCCAAATGTGAACACTGGTGGAGTTAGAGGAAAATAGACCTTGACCTTGGGAGTTGTAGTTGCTGGGATTTATAGTTCACCTACAATCAAAGAGCATTCTGAACCCCACCAATGATAGAATTGGGCCAAAATTCCCACACCCCTATGACCAACAGAAAAATACTATGTTTTCTGATGGTCTTTGGCGACCCCTCTGATACCCCTCTTGCGACCCTCTCAGGGGTCCCGACCGCCAGGTTGAGAAACACTGACTTACATAGAGGATTCCCAGAGAGGATATATTTTACTGAATATGTAGGGGAAAATGTGGGTGCTGGTCCCGCAATATGAGGGTCTTACTATATCTCCCAGCTCAGTAAGGATTGGGCTACCTCTGATTTTTCATGAGGACATCTGAACCTGTTTTTGGTTTCCTTTTCAGGTTTGAGAAGATGGTGAGTGGCATGTACATGGGTGAACTTGTCAGGCTTATCCTCGTAAAAATGGCCAAAGAAGGTCTAATTTTTGAAGGTCGAATCACTCCAGAACTTCTCACCAAAGGAAAGTTAGAAACAAAACATGTGTCTGCCATTGAGAAGTAAGTGGCTTTGGAAGCATATCTTCAGCTTTTCATTTGACATAATTTCATAACAGGAGAGATGATCGGATGTCTACCATTGGATTCTGAGAGGACTTCTTGGATGAACTTAAAAAATAATGTCTTTTTTAAATAGGTATAATAGGTACTGCTATTTTTCCCATTTTCCAAAAGTTTTCAGAGACCAATTATGGGTTGAAGCAACTTAGATAATATATATAATTTGTTTGCTTGTGTCTTACATATCATTTTAATAAAACTTCAGGCATCTCAGTTATATTAAGCTGATATCTTGTATTCTGCATGGTTTTCCCCTTTCCTGAAATAGTTTGAGAAAGACTTCCAAATAATTGTAATGTAGGGAGTTGAAATTCAAACTTCTTTTTCAAAGTTATTTCTGAATCTTTAGTGTATTATCTTTGCATCAGTCCTCTGTAATCATAGGGCAAGAATCCTGTTTGTTGTTGTTGTTATTATTGTTTTTTTGTTATTATTAATATTGTTATTGTTGTTGTTGTTTCTTACCCACCTCTCTTTGTGGCTTTAAAAACAAGAACATGAATTCTTTGGAGTTTGATAAGATCAATAGGCCACATTACATGATCTGAGGGACATGTGTGGAACAGTTGTACTTTTCTGTCCCTAACATTTAACTCCACAGCTAATCTAAAGTAAGCCACAGATTCCAAAAACACTTCGAATCCATATTTACCAATGTATTTATTCTTAGTATTTTGGCACCGTTAGTTTTAAAGTTACAGTCTGTTTGCAAAGTGCACTGCGTCACATTGCAGATGTATTTTACGATATCTCTCTCCTCTTTCTTTGGCCGTTCCTTCACGATCACAAAAAACTCTTTATCAAAATAATGTTTTTCTTGTGGTGAACACCCTTAGGTGAATTTTCAGTGAAAATAATCCTTTTTTTTTTTTGCTTGCACATACTTGGTTTTAGAGAGGAGGAAATGTTATTGTGACAGCATGAGATTCGTTTGCAAGCTTTATCACTAGAAGTAACCATGCTTCTCTGTCTCTGCCATGATGCAAACACAGAGGTTTATTTATTTACTAGCTGTACCCACCATGCGTTGCTGTGACCAACCTTCCCTCCCTCTTTCCTTCTTTCTTTCTTTTCTTCCTTCTCTCCTTTTCTTTCCCTTCTTCCTTCTTCCTTCGAATCTGTTTCTTTTCTTACTTCCTTTGCTCTTTGGTTCCATCCTTCCTTCCTTCCTTCCCTCCCTTCCTCCCTCTTTCTTTTTTTCGTTCCTTCTCTCCTTCCTTCCTCTTTCACTTTTTCGTTTCCTTCTCTCCTTCCTTCCTTCTCTACCTTTCTTTCCTTCCTTCCTTCCTTCCTTCTTCCTTCCTTCCTTCCTTCTTCCTTCCTTCCTTCCTCCCCTCCCCTCCCTCCCCCTCCCTCCCTCCCCTCCCCTCCCCCCCTCCCCTCCCTCCCCCCTCCCCTCCTCCCCCTCCCCTCCCCTCCCCTCCCCCTCCCCCCTCCCCCCCCCTCCCCTCCCCTCCCCCTCCCTCCCCTTCCCCTCCCCTCCCCCCCTTCCTTCCTTCCCTTCCCTTCCTTCCCTTCCTTCCCTTCCTTCCCTTCCTCTTCCTTCCTTCCTTCCCTTCCCTTCCTTCCCTCTCCTTCCCTTCTTCCTTCCTTCCCTTTCCATCTTCCTTCCTTCCTTTCCTTCCCTTCCTCTTTCTCTCTTTCCTTCCTTCTCTCCTTCCTTTCCTCTTTCACTTTTTTTCCTTCTCTCTTCCTTCCTTCTTACTTTCTTTCTTCTCTCCTTTCCCTCCCTCTTTCTCTCTTTCTTCCTTCTCTCCTTCCTTTCCTCTTTCACTTTTTTTTTCTTCTCTCCTTCCTTTCCTTCCTTCCTTCCTTCCTTCCTTCCTTCCTTCCTTCCTTCTCTCCCTTCTTCCTTCCCTCCCTTTTCTCTTTCTTCCTTCTCTTCTTCCTTCCCTCTTTCTTTTTTTTCTTCTTGCTTCCTTCCCTTCCTTCCTTCCTTCCTTCCTTCCTTCCTTCCTTCCTTCCCTTCTTCTTCATCCTTCTCCTTCCTCCTCTTCCTCCTCCAGTATTATATTTCTTACCTACCTCTTCTCACTCTTTTCTTTTTTTTTTCTTCTCTCTTCCTTCCTTCTTCTTCCTTTCCTTCCTTCCCTCCTCTTTCTCCCTTTTGTTCCTTTTCTCCTTCCTTCCCTCTTTTACTTTTTTATTTCCTTCTCTCCTTTCTTTCTCTCTCTTCCTTCTTCCCTTCTCTCCTCCCTCCTCCCTCCCTCCCTCCCCACCTCTTTCGTTTCCTCCTTTCTTCCTTCTCTATCTGTTTCTTTTCTCGCTTCCTCTGCTCTTCCTTGTCTCTTTTCTTCCTTCCTTCCCTCTCTCTTTCTCTCTTTCATTCCTTCTCTCCTTCCTTCCCTCTTTCACTTTTTTATTTCCTTCTCTCTCTTCCTTCCTTCTCTACCTTTCTTTCTTTCCTTCTTCTTTCCCTCCTTCTTTCCCTCTTTCTCTCTCTCCTTCGTGTGTATATATTTGTGTATATGTGTATATATGTGGTTTTGCACATGTGTTGTAGTGTATTCTTTGTTTTTTGGCTTCTTAAGTCCCTTCTGCTGCATTTTTCAGTGTTTTTATGAGTGATGGTCACTTGTTGGCCTGAGAGGTGTCTTGTGTCCAAATTTGGTGTCAATTCGCCCAGTGGTTTTTGAGTTATGTTAATCCCACAAACAAACGTTACATTTTTATTTATATAGATTTATTTATTTATTTACAGTATTTATATTCCGCCCTTCTCACCCTGCAGAGGACTCAGGGCGGATTACAGTGTACATATACATGGCCAACATTCAATGCCGTAGAAACACAACATATATAGACAGACAAACAGAGGATATTTAACATTCCAGCTTTTTCATGAGGGTATTCTGGCCACCAGGGGAGTTGTTGCTTCACACTGATGAAGCACTTCCTCATTCCTCATTGTGACACTGATGAAGCACTTCCTCATTCTTTGCATGCTTGCTGGAGATTTTTATGGTGTCGTAAATTAGCCTCCCCGCATAAGCGATACCTAAATTTCCTACTTGACAGATGCAACTGTCTTTCAGGCTGCAAAGCTACACAAATTGGTTGGAAGCTTACTCCGACTTGGGCTGGCTTCGAACTCATGACCTTTTGGTCAGTAGTGATCTTAATGCAGCTGACTCCTAGCCAGCTGTGCCACAGTCCCGGTGGCGCAGATTATGTCTTTAATGTACACTCCTGTGCTGGAAGTCTCATCTTAGCAGACAGCAAACAGGCTTTTTGATGTTGAATTACAATTCCCATTATCTTTCACCAATAGTTATATAGGCTTGGTTCCTGTAAGCCTGGTGTCTCACTAATTGGGGGATCCTCATGTAAGCATTACTCAGATTCAAATGAAGCACTTCCTTTGCCTTTATGCATAGGTTGATATCAGACCCTCTTGCTTTGTTGGGAATGTTCAAACCTCATAATAACATCTTGATCTTTTAATATCTACTTGTAGGAGCAAAGAAGGGTTACAGAAGGCCAAAGAGATACTGACCCGTCTTGGGGTTGAGCCCTCCCATGAAGACTGCATTGCTGTCCACCATGTCTGTACAATTGTTTCATTCCGCTCAGCAAACTTGGTAGCTGCGACGCTGGGGGCGATCCTGAATCAGCTGCGAGATAATAAGGGAGTTGGACGTCTGCGGACCACTGTGGGGGTCGATGGCTCCCTTTACAAGATGCACCCACAGTAAGACCCTGACTTGTTTCCATATTTATATCTTGGCACCTGTTAGGGACCATCTCATCCAAAGGTCAGGTATTTAACACATCTCTCTGACATTTGGATGCATGGTTGGAGCTTGAGCTAAATAAGCAGAACTGTTAAACATAAGATGAATGTCGGCTACCCCTATTGTAGGAGTTTTCAAAGGCAGCAAAATAGGTTCGGCAGAGGATATGCTTACTTAAGACACTCCATGCACACAGGAATAGCATGTTTGTGCAATTGCTTGTGGTTTCTGCTATCCTTTGCTAGGAAGGGGAAGATATGCAGGCAAGGGAATAATCAGTCCACGAGGCAGGATGGAAGGCAGAATTGTAGGCAATATGTGTTTGAAGTTGAGTAGGCGTTGTGCTTTCAAATAGTGAGTGACTGTAAGCTTAGGTGCTCACACCACAGGCAGCACAATTTTTCTTAGACATGTCAAGGAAAGTTAGGGAGCACTTGCTCATTCTTTGCATAACACTGGAAGGAAACTAGTCCAATGTGGGCTAGGCAAAACTACGGTGAGGTGGATCTGTAATTGGTTAAATGGACGAACCCAGAGGGTGCTCACCAATGCTTCCTCTTTATCCTGGAAAGAAGTGACAAGTGGAGTGCCGCAGGGTTCCGTCCTGGGCCCGGTCCTGTTCAACATCTTTATTAATGACTTAGATGAAGGGCTAGAAGGCATGATCATCAAGTTTGCAGACGACACCAAATTGGGAGGGATAGCCAATACTCCAGAGGACAGGAGCAGAATTCAAAACGATCTGGACAGATTAGAGAGATGGGCCAAAACTAACAAAATGAAGTTCAACAGTGACAAATGCAAGATACTCCACTTTGGCAGGAAAAACAAAATGCAAAGATACAGAATGGGGGACAATGCCTGGCTCGAGAGCAGTACGTGTGAAAAAGATCTTGGAGTCCTCATGGACAACAAGTTAAACATGAGCCAACAATGTGATGTGGCAGCAAAAAAATCATTAGACATTCCCAATAAGGTCAAGGGGATGGAGTGAAGGTCAGGGAGAAATGTAACTGATGGGTGGAGAGTTTCAGTTACATGACAGAGTTAGAGTAATTGAAACATTCTTCTATGCAAGGGAGATAGTATGGGAAAAAAAGCCAATGGGATTTTGGCCTGCATCAATAGGAGCATAGTGTCTAGATCTAGGGAAGTAATGCTACCCCTCTATTCCGCTTTGGATAGACCACACCTGGAATATTGTGTCCAATTCTGGGCACCACAATTCAAGAGAGATATTGACAAGCTGGAATGTGTCCAGAGGAGGAGGGCAACTAAAATGATCAAGGGTCTGGAGAACAAGCCCTATGAGGAGCGGCTTAAGGAGCTGGGCATGTTTAGCCTGAAGAAGAGAAGGCTGAGAGGAGATATGTTTTCTGCTTCCTTGGAGACTAGGACGTGGAACAACTACAAGAGAGGAGATTCCATCTGAACACGAGGAAGAACTTCCTGACTGTGAGAGCCGTTCAGCAGTGGAACTCTCTGCCCCGGAGTGTGGTGGAGGCTCCTTCTTTGGAAGCTTTTAAACAGAGGCTGGATGGCCATCTGGCAGGGGTGATTTGAATGCAATATTCCTGCTTCTTGGCAGGGGGTTGGACTGGATGGCCCATGAGGTCTCTTCCAACTCTTTGATCTATGATGTATTGTCGAAGGCTTTCATGGCTGGAATCACTGGGTTGTTGTAGGTTTTTCGGGCTATAAGGCCATGTTCTAGAAGCATTCTCTCCTGACGTTTCGCCTGCATCTATGGCAGGCATCCTTAGAGGTCTGACCTCACAACCTCTGAGGATGCCTGCCATAAATGCAGGCAAAACAAATTTTCTGGAGTATAACAACTGGTCATGGCTCTGGTTAATGTTTATTTCGTGTTTTCGTTCTGTTCGTTTCATTCGGATGGCACAAAATGGTTCAACCCCCCACGGTACGAAAATAATAGTGAAACAAAAAGGAAAGTAGCATTGGTAACCATGTGGTTGCCTGCTTTTCGGGCCGCATGGCACGGCCCAGGGAGAAACTGATAGTGATTCTATACAAATGCACAAGACTAATAACAACTACTTCCAAGTAAGTACCACACAAAACAGAAAATAACACTTTCAAACCAGGAACAGAATTTTTTTTTCAAATGTTATTACATTTGAAACACATAACTATTTTTTATATGTAACTTGAATTACATGTATTTGTATGCTGCTTTATTATCATAGGTACTCCTAGCTACTTAAAGCATAGTGATTCATCACAATATGCTTGGGGGAGTATGGACAACAGATGATGGGATTTGCAATGCCTTCAACTGATTCAGATCTGACTTCCACATACCACTGAGACCCCTACGAATTACAGACCTGGACCAAACTTGGAACAGAGAACCCCCATGACCAACAGAAATACAAGAGGGGTTTGGAAGGAATTTACAGTGATTTATGGGAGATGTAGTTCACCTACATCCGGAGAGCAAACCCAAACAACTATGGATCTGGACCAAACTTGGCAGGAATACTAATATATGCCCAAATTTGAACATTAGTGGAGTCTGGGAAAAATAGACCCTGACATTTGGGAGTTGCAGTTGCTTGGAGTTATAGTTCACCTACCATCAAAGAACATTCTGAACACCAACAACAATAGAATTGAACCAAATTTGGCATGCATCATACCTAGATTCTGGAATGTAAAGATATTATATATAAAATATCAGAAGCGACTTGAGATAACTGCAGGTCACTTCTGGTGTGAGAGAATTGGCATCTGCAGAGTCGTTGCCCATGGGACACCCGGATGTGTTACCATCCTGTGGGGGGCTTCTCTCATGTCCCCTCATGGGAAGCTGGGGCTGACAGACAAGAGCTCACCCCATCTTGCAGATTCGAACTGCCAACCTTCAGGTCAGCAGTTCAGCTGGCACAAGGGTTCAACCCATTGCGCCACCGCAGTCTGGCTTTAGGCCGGGGCATGGTACCGAGACAGCCTTGGTCGCCTTGGTCGATGATCTCCGGCGTGAGCTCGACAGGGGGAGTGTGTCTCTGTTGGTTCTGCTGGATCTCTCAGCGGCCTTCGATACCGTCGACCACGGTATCCTTCTGGGGCGCCTTGTGGGAATGGGCCTGGGGGGCACTGTTCTACAGTGGCTCAGGTCCTTCCTAGAGGACCGCACCCAGAAGGTGTTACTGGGGGACACCTGCTCGTCCTCACAACCATTGACGTGTGGGGTCCCGCAGGGTTCAATACTGTCCCCCATGTTATTTAACATCTACATGAAGCCGTTGGGAGAGATCATCCGGAGTTTCGGGGAGCGGTGTTATCTGTACGCAGATGACGTCCAACTCTGTCACTCCTTTCCCACCTACTACTAAGGAGGCTGTCCAGGTCCTGAACCGGTGCTTGGCCGCTGTGTCGGACTGGATGAGGGTGAACAAATTGAAACTCAATCCAGACAAGACAGAGGTACTCCTGGTCAGTCGGAAGGCCGAACAGGGTATAGGGTTACAGCCTGTGTTGGACGGGGTCGCACTCCCCCTGAAGACACAGGTTTGCAGCTTGGGTGTGACTCTGGATTCTTCGCTAAGCTTGGAACCCCAAGTTTCAGCGGTTTCCAGAGGAGCATTTGCACAGCTTCGGCTCGTGCGCCAGCTGCGCCCGTATCTTGGGAAGTCGGACTTGGCCACGGTAGTCCACGCTCTTGTCACATCCCGCATAGATTACTGCAACGCGCTCTACGTGGGGTTGCCCTTGAAGACTGCCCGGAAGCTTCAGATGGTCCAGCGCTTGGCAGCCAGGTTGCTAACGGGAGCGGCACTCAGGGAGCACACCACCCCTCTGTTGAGCCAGCTCCACTGGCTGCCAATTTGCTACCGGGCACAATTCAAGGTGCTGGCGTTAGCCTATAAAGCCCTAAACGGTTCCGGCCCTACTTACCTCTCCGAACGCATCTCCTCCTATGAACCGGTTAGGACGTTAAGATCGTCCGGGGAGGCCCTGCTCTCGGTCCCGCCAGCATCACAAGTGCGGCTGGCGGGGACGAGGGACAGGGCCTTCTCGGTGGTGGCCCCTCGGCTATGGAATGCCCTACCAGTGGAGATCAGGCAGGCCCCCTCGCTATTGGCGTTTAGGAGGCGGGTTAAGACGTGGCTCTTCGAACAGGCGTTCGGATAAGCATGCAATAACATCTGACTCAGAAGACGGCATACTGAACAAGGAATGGTAAAACGACTATGAGATTTGGATCTGATTCTATTCGAGGCGTGATGACGTTTTGTGTATTGTTTGTGGTTGTTTGTCATATATATTGTTCAATGTTGCACATTTTACTGTAAACCGCTTAGAGTCGCCGTTGGCTGATATTTGCGGTATACAAAAGGAGTAAATAAATAAATAATAAATAAATATATCATCATTTACTACTAAAGTTAGATTTTGTCCATGCCATCATATATTTCCCACAGTGAAGAAAGTGGATAGGAAGTAAATCAAATGATATAAGATGTAGTACTGGAGAGGAATTTTATAGATATCATGGATTACTAAAAAGACAAATAAATGGATTGTAGAGCAAATCAAGGATGAAACCATAATGACAAAACTGAAACTGATGTTTTTTGACCGTATCATGGGAGACACGAATCCAATGAAAAGAGGATCTGTTGTGGGTGCTTTGATCCTCTCTTCCTGCACGGCAAGGGGTTGGTCTGGATGGCCCTTGTGGTCTCTTCCAACTCCAGGATTCTATGATTCTACTTTGTGGTCTCTGTGAAATCGCACATATGGTAGCAATGCTCGCGCATGCGTAGCAGCTCGGACCCTATAACAAGCTCTCTATACCTTTAAGGATATGGCCCCACCTGTCCTCCCCATATTACATATAGGACACAGGTAGGGCAGTAACACCAGTTCCTTTTTTTAAAGTGGAGGACAGTGGGAAAAGAGGAAGGCCACATTCCAGAGGTCAGTCAGGGAAGTCCGAGGCGGATCAGTGCTATTGGTACTCTTGGACCTCACAGCTGCATTCGACACCGTGGACCATGACTTGCTGATTCATCGATTGGCTATGTCTGGTGTACGAGGTTTAGCCCTGAAATGGTTCAATTCGTTCCTCCGGGACCGGAGACAGAGGGTGGAGTGGTTAGGCCAAAGCTCTGAGAGCTCCTGCCTTTGCTGTGGAGTTCCCCAGGGTGCTATCCTCTCGCCCCTGTTATTTAACATCTATGTCCAGCCACTTGCTGGACTGGTGCGGAGCTTTGGCATAGAGTGCTACCAGTATGCATACCCAGCTACTCTTGCGTCTCGAACCTGGGACAACCGCAATTCCTGAGAACTTTAGGCTGTGTTTGGAAGCAGTGATGAGTTGGCTGCGAGCGAGCAGACTAAAAGTGAATCCTGCAAAAACTGGCCCGGCCAGCCGCCAGAATTAATCCAGTCTCTGCCTGATTTCGATGGGGAAGCTCTGGTTCCATCTGCCACTGTTAAAAGCCTTGGGGTTGTGTTGGACTCATCGCTGACGATGGAGGCCCAGATCACTGCCATAAGTAAGCAGGCCTTTTTTCATCTTCGCCAGGCAAGGAAATTGGCATCCTACCTTTCGGTAGAAGCATTGGCAACAGTAATCCACGCAACAGTCACCACGAGGTTGGACTATTGCAACGCCTTATATGCCGGCCTTCCGAAGTCAACAACCCAGAAGATTCGGATGGTCCAAAATGCAGCGGCCAGGCTGCTAGCGGGATCATCTATAAGATCCCATATTACACCGATTCTGCAACAACTGCATTGGCTACCAATAGAACATCGGATCTCTTACAAGATCCTGATCCTGACATTTAGAGCTCAAAATGGCCAAGGACCTTTATATCTTAGGGACCACCTCATTCCTTTTCTCCATCAGTGGTCACCTCGATCCACCCAGGAAAATCTCCTATATATACCGGGCCCTAGGGAGGTACACCTGGAAGCTACAAGGCATAGAGCTTTTTCGACCTATGCTCCAATTCTGTGGAACTCATTGCCTCCATACATTAGAGCAATGTCGGAGTTGCGACCTTTTGTAAAGGCACTCAAGACTTGGCTGTTTGGTTGTGCATTTAAGTAATCAGATCTAATTTGCCAAATAGTCACTGTTGAATGTTTTTATGTTGAATGTTTTTATATTGTGTAAAGGCTACTTTAGATTGTAAGTCGCTCGGAGCACCTTGGTGGAGAACGACTAATTAAGAAATAAAGTGAAGTGAAGTGAAAGTGAAGTGAAGTCTTAAGCCTACAAGACTTGAGTAGGGCTGTTGATGATAGGGTGACTTGGAAGTCTCAAATTTAGGGGTTTGCCATAAGTCAAAGTCAACCTGATGACAACTGACATCAGAAATGTGCTATTGATTATATACATTTTTTTTCTTTTCACAGATATGCCAGGCGCCTGCACAAAACTGTGCGACGCTTAGTGCCCGACTCAGATGTTCGTTTCCTGCTCTCTGAGAGTGGCAGTGGAAAGGGGGCTGCGATGGTGACAGCGGTTGCCTACAGGTTGGCTGAACAGCACCGACAGATCGGTGAGACCCTGGAAGAGTTTAAGCTCACTCATGAACAGCTCCTGCAGGTGAAGAAGAGGATGCGAATGGAAATTGAAGCTGGCCTCCGGAAGAAGTCACACGACCACGCCAAAGTCAAAATGCTACCTACCTTCGTCCGCAGCACGCCTGATGGGACAGGTAGTTTCTAGTATTGAAATGATACTGTGAATATCAGCATAGTTTCTTCATTGCAAAATAATGTTCTTTTTTTAAAAAAAATCTGTGTTTGGGATTCACAAATAGGAGGCACATGATCTCTTTGTATGTTTCTTGTTGGCTTTTTAAAAATATAAAACATATAAAAATAACCAAAGAAGTAAAATTACCTGTCCAAACGCATCTCCCTCTATGTACCATTGCGGAGATTAAGATCCTCCGGGGAGGCCCTGCTTTCCGTCCCGCCATTGTCACAGGCGCGATTAGTGGGGATGAGAGACAGGGCCTTCTCGGTGATTGCTCCCCGGCTATGGAACTCCCTTCCTTGTGAGGTCAGGTCGGCCCCTCCCTCCTGTCCTTTAGAAGGATGGTAAAAACTTGGCTGTGGGACCAAGCTTTCGGGACAGGGCAATGAAGCGACAATGGGAAAGATGACAGGGCCAATTGGATTTGATGCGGATGGCTAGGACAGTTTTAAATTGTGCTATTTTAAATTGTGTATTTTAATATTTAGATAATTTTTTAATGTTTATGTATTGTACCCAGGCATTGAATGTTTGCCATGTATATGTTGTGCTCCGCTCTGAGTCCCCTTCGGGGTGAGAAGGGCGGAATATAAGTGTTTTAAATTAATAATAATAATAATAATAATAATAATAATAATAAAACCAATGAGAGCATGCTATCAGCTCATAATACTAGATTGGTTGGTTGATGGATTTTAAAATGATGTTATGGTGCTTTTCGTCACATTCCAGCCTTCCGTTGGTGACCAATGATTGTTTCAGTCAAGGAAGTGGTGGCAAAAGTGTGGGTTTAAGCTGAGCTGTGCCTACGCACAAGCCAGATTTCAAGCCATCCCATTTTACTGTGGCCAATTGGCACGCCCATCTCATCCCTCCTTTGCATTGCCCGGGAGGGGAAGCAAAACTTCTTTACAAAAGTTGCTTAATGCTCGTGAAAATTAAAATAACCTTGGGAGACTTACGAACATTACGAAATATTTATGAATGAAAAGGGTAAGTGGTTCAAATCGTAATTACACCTCTTACTTTTTCTGCATGGTTCAAAATTGATTCGGAAGACCAAATTCAGTAGGTTTCAACAAATTTAAGGTTTTAACGAAACGAACCTAACCAACTCTATTGGTTAGACTACACCTGGAATATTCTGTCCAATTCTGGGCACCACAATTGAAGAGAGATATTGACAAGCTGGAATGTGTCCAGAGGAAGGTGACTAAAATGATCAAGGGTCTGGAGAACAAGCCCTATGAGGAGCGGCTTAAGGAACTGGGCATGTTTAGCCTGAAGAAGAGAAGGCTGAGAGGAGATATGATAGCCATGTATAAATATGTGAGAGGAAGCCACAGGGAGGAGGGAGCAGGCTTGTTTTCTGCTGCCCTGGGGACTAGGACGCAATGGAACAATGGCTTCAAACTACAAGAAAGGAGATTCCATCTGAACATTAAGAAGAACTTCCTGACTGTGAGAGCTGTTCAGCAGTGGAACTCTCTGCCCCGTGTGGTGGAGGTTTCTTCTTTGGAAGCTTTTAAACAGAGGTTGAATGGCCATCCGTCGGGGGTGCTTTGAATGCAATTTTCCGGCTTCTTGGCAGTGGGTTGGATGGCCCATGAGGCCTCTTCCAACACTATGATTTTATGATTCTATAAGCATATATGTTAATTGATTGATTTTATTGCTTCCCATAGTTTTTTGATCAGCTCCACTGGTTGTTCTCATTTTCCCTGGTGCAATGATGCTATTAGTTCCCTGGCCTGTCATTCTCTTTTTCCTGTTAATTCAGAGCAATTTTTAAAAAGTCAGAACAAAACTCCACATTGATGTTGCTTTACATTAAATAGAGATGGATGAGCAGCACCATCTGCTGGCAAATATTCATATCCTTGTGCATGCATCATAACGTTTAATACATTGAGCCTTCCATAGCCATTTATTCTGCATCTGTGGATTCCACCATCCACCGCTTGAGTGTTTCACCATGTTAGATAGGTAAAGGTTCCCCCCTGTCATTAAGTCCAGTCATTTCCGACTCTGCGGTGTGGTGCTCATCGCCATTTCTAAGCCGAAGAGCCAGCGTTGTCCGTAGACACCTCCAAGGTCATGTGGTCAGCATGACTGCATGGAGTGCCCTTCCCTTCCCTATTGATCTACTCACATTTGCATGTTTTCGCACTGCTAGGTTGGCAGGAGCTGGGGCTAACAGCGGGTGCTCACGCCGCTCCCCTAATTTGAAGCTGCGACCTTTCAGTCAACAAGTCCAGCAGCTCAGTGCTTTAACCCACCGTACCACCGTGGGCTCCATATTAGATAAGGGACACTTTTTTCTATGCTCCTGTATACAGTGGAACTCGAGCATCTGTGGATTTAGGTATCCACGTTGCTCCTGAAATTAAACCCCACTGTATACCAACGGCACATTGCATTTCTGTGTAATTCAAATTCTTCTGTTTTGAAGAGAGAGTATTTGCATTAGAACATGTTTGCTTCTGCACTTCCTTCTTCTCTTTTCAGTAAATCTTTTATTTCCAGGCCTCTTGTGATCTGTTTAAATACGAGGTGTATTTTTAAAGTAAGGTCCGTTTGAACATAAGTACACAACGAAAATTTATTTCAAAAAAGTAAATTTATTTTCAGAAAGTACATACTTCACTCTATTTTTCGACATAGTTGCCAAGTTTGTTCAAACACTTATCATACCTCTGAACCAATTTTAAAATACCCTCTTCATAAAAACTTGCCGCCTGCTCTGATAACCAAGAGTTTACTGCCGTTTTCACGTCGTCGAAGGGCAACCGGAGCGGTCCTCATCATGGACGTTGTTACAGCCATCTTTGAATTGTCGTACCCACTTATGCACTTTGCTTTCACTCATAACAGTATCACCGTACAATTCACAAATCTGTCGATGAATTTCTGCATCAGGCAGGTTCCTTCCTGACAAAAACTGTATCACTGAGAGAACCTCACATGCGGAGGATGAGTTGATAGTCTTAAACATTTTAAAAGCACAGAACAGAATCATACAGGTTAGCTAGAGAGTGGAAACTGAGCACAGTTGTTCCCGAGGCATGCCGGTACACGACGCACACGCTCGTTGCGGTATGCGCGCGAACTCCTAGTGTCTACAACAAAACGGACCTTACTTAAAAAATACCCCTCATAGAAATGGTTGATTTGGTTAATTTTAATTGGAAGAGAAGGTAGCTACCCAAAACAAAACATATCCTCGAATCTTCTGTGAAAGAGACTTATGAAATTAACTACATTCAAGAGTTTGCTTATAACGACTTCTTTGCTTTGTATTTGTGCTGGCTGGGTAACCTTTGGGACCCAAAACAGCCAACAGGAAGTGACTGTTCAGCAGAAACCAGATGCTGACTGTAGATTAGTGTGGGATCCCATAGCTGCCCTCTCTATAATAAGTGGCCACAATTAGTGTGCTTCCTTTTAAACACATGACACTGTCCTATGAGTTGGCCTTTACATTTAGTAAGGCGCTTTTATTATTCATTCCACATCCATCCCCTGGAATCCCACAAATAAAACTGGTGGATTCTTGTGGGTTTTTTCGGGCTATAGGGCCATGTTCTAGAGGCATTTCTCCTGACGTTTCGCCTGCATCTATGGCAAGCATCCTCAGAGGTAGTGAGGTGGTGGAGCTCAAAGAATTCAGAAGAATTCAGAAACACAGATGCTTTATTCCTGACATCTTACCCTCCTCGCTAATGTTTTGTTTGCAGAAAATGGAGACTTTTTGGCTTTAGATCTCGGAGGAACAAATTTCCGCGTTTTGCTTGTGAAGATTCGAAGTGGGAAAAGGAGGATGGTCGAAATGCACAATAAAATATATGCCATTCCTATAGAGGTCATGCAGGGTACTGGAGACGAGGTGAGATATTCCATCATTATTACAGAATGCATCAATGGTTGCCAGTGGCATGTATACTTGAATTAATGCCTTGGATCCTACATCGCCCCAAAATAGTGGAAATAAAAACTAGTAGAGTTATATTCTTTTCACGCCGTGTAATATTATACTGGACACCATTGTAGTGCATTACAGTTGGCCCCTCATACCTACAGATTTTGCATCCAACACATTTATCTAACCATGGCTCAAAAATATTTTGGGGAAAACTAGCCTTGATTTTCCCATTTTATATAAGGGGTGTGATTTTACTATTCCACTGTATCTTACCCCATAATCCTTACATATCACCTGTCACATCAGCACTTTTAATTCTGTACCCTTTACTCTGGCCCGGCCCAGTTTTATTGTGTTTTGGTGTATTGTTGATTGCTTGTTGTTTTGCTGTTTAATATTGCTTTAATTGTTTTTAATTTGCTTTAGGTTGTATTGTTATGTTGTGTTTGAGGCCTTGGCCTTTGTAAGCCACATCGAGTCCTTTGTGAGATGCTAGCGGGGTACAAATAAAGTTAATAATAATAATAATAATAATAATAATAATAATAATGGGACTTGAGCATCCAAAGATTTTTGTATCCCTATGTGTGTGTCCATGTGTCTCTGTCCGTGTGTGTGTGTGTCCTGAAACCAAACTCCAATAGATAATGAAGGCCCACTGTGTATGTGCTTCTCTTCTAAATGTACATAGCTGACACACTTCGTTGTGCAGTTCCAGTGAGATGCACATTGATACATATTCCGCATTCACTCTCAGGCCCTATTGTAGAATGAACCAAATCCCATTGTAGAATGAATACATTCCATTTAATAATAATAATAATAATAATAATAATAATAATAATAAGTGCCTGGCCGCTGTGGCTGTCTGGATGAGGATCAACAAGATCAATCCCGACAAGACAGAGGTCCTCCTGGTCGATCGTAAACCGGATCGGGGTATAGGGTGGCAACCTGTGCTGGACGGGGTTACACTCCCCCTGAAGTCACAGGTCCGCAGTCTGGGAGTCCTCCTGGATTCATCATTTACGCTTGAGGCTCAGGTGTTGGCGGTGGCCGGGAGGTCTTTTGCACAATTGAGACTCGTGCGCCAACTGCGACCATACCTGGTAAAGACTGATCTGGCCGGGGTGGTCCATGCCTTGGTCACCTCTAGATTGGACTACTGTAATGCGCTCTACGTGGGGCTGCCCTTGAAAATGGCTCGGAAATTCCAACTGGTCCAACGGGCGGCAGCCAGGTTGTTAACTGGGGCTTCTTACAGAGAGCGGCCATCCTTCCTGTTCAAGGAGCTCCACTGGCTGCCATTCATTTACCGGACCCAATTCAAGGTCCAGGTTCTTACCTATAAAGCCCTAAACGGTTTGGGACCCACCTACCTACGTGATCGCATCTCTGTATACGAACCCACACGATCCCTTCGATCTTCCGGAGAGGCCCTGCTCTCGATCCCACCAGCATCGCAGGCGCGTTTGGTGGGGACAAGGGAGAGGACCTTTTCGATGGTGGCCCCTCGACTCTGGAACTCACTCCCTAAAGACATCAGACAGGTCCCAACCCTGGCAGTGGCTGTTCCAGTGTGCCTTCCAGGAATAATGATCCCATAGCACTTTGTCCTCCAAAGCACTTTACATTTCCCTGAGTCTGCTTGTATGCCCTCCACAAACACTAGTATCACCTTTCGTTCATGGCCCAGCATTATTTCCAATTTTAACTCTACATTTGGCCTTCCCACTGTTTTAATTATGTGTTGCTTTTTTTGATAATGTTGTGTTTTTTATTGTCTATGTTTTTTAATTGCTTGTATTGATGTTTTTTGCTTTTGTTGTTCTGTTTGGACTCGGCCTCATGTAAGTCGCACCAAGTCCCTTGGGGAGATGGTAGCGGGGTACAAATAAAGTTAATAATAAACAATAATAATAATCCATAAAAGTGAAAAACCAAACATATTCAATGAACAGCAGACATAGTCCTTTAAAACAAGAATTATATGGTATACAACAATTTCAACATCTCCACTACTTCTTAGGTTAGTGAGACCAAGGTCTGATTTAGAAGGTGTAGTCCAATTAGGTTATCCAGCCGTTGTCGTTGTTATGTTTGACCTTTATCAAAGGCTTGCTTTTAAAGCCAGGATTTCAGTTTCTTCTTTTAAAGCCAGGATTTCAGTTCCAAGTGTGGAGGCTTGCCTAATTTCTCTACCCCCCTGTATTCCAGAGCCGGGAGGCCACTACCGAGAAGGCCCCCTCCCTTGTCCCTACCAACCTCACTTGCAACGCAGATGGGACTGTGAGAAGAGCCTCCCTGATTGATCTCAGAGCCCACACAATGCTTGTTGATACATGTTCCCTATGCAGGCCTCTGCTTCCATCCCTATCAGCTAGATCTGACTGCTCTGCAGTGTCCAATAAAACAATTTCATATGCATGATCCAATGTATACCTGCAGTATATCACAGGATGCCGGCCTCTATATATTTGTGATGTAAACATTTTCTCTCTTGTTTTCAAAGCTGTTCGACCACATTGTTACCTGCATCTCGGACTTCTTGGATTACATGGGAATAAAAGGTGCACGGCTGCCTTTGGGCTTTACGTTTTCTTTCCCTTGCAGACAGACAAGCTTAGATGCTGTAAGTTGCTGATGCTTTTGTTCAATGGAGCTTTTTAGTACTGTGTTTTCATGGTTGAATGTTCAGTGAATGAATTAAGCAGAGCTTGGAAAGGTGAATGTACGCACGAATGTACTCATCTGAACATGAGGAAGAACTTCCTGACTGTGAGAGCCGTTCAGCAGTGGAACTCTCTGCTCCGGAGCGTGGTGGAGGTTCCTTCTTAGGAAGCTTTTAAACAGAGGCTGGATGGCCATCTGTCAGGGGTGATTTGAATGCAATATTCCTGCATCTTGGCAGGGGGTTGGACTGGATGGCCCATGAGGTCTCTTCCAACTCTTTGATTCTATGATTCTATGAATGTCGAAGTACATTAATTTTTGATATTAGAATTTATTTATTTATTTATTTATTTCACAGTTTTCTATACCGAGCTTCTCAACCTCATTGAGGGACTCAGCCCGATTTCCAGCCATAAAAACATATACACTCATTAAAATATCATATATCACAATTACAAAAACAACTTTAAAAACACTATATATAAAACTACAACATATTACAAATTCGTTAAAATTAATTGTTAATTTTATAAAAATGTTTTCCAGAGGTGGTTGTTATCTCAGAAATAGTGTTGCTGGCATTTACTATATAAAATATTTATTTATTTATTTATTTCGGGTATTTTTTTTACCCCACCCTTCTCAAGCCACTTGTTTGATGCCTACAAGTAAACACAATAAAATACATATCAAAAACAATAATTATAAATAGTTAAATTTTAAATACATTTTAAAATAATTGTGGAATATTTAAAACCCGAGCATTGGATTAATTTTTACATAATTATTTCTACGTTTTGGAAATGAAAATTGACAATGGACAAACACATACTGCTATTTATTCATTGACCAAAAATTGTGCATGTTCCACCTTGATATATGATTTAAAAAGGAGAGTTTCCGGCTCCTACGTTTTAAATCTCTCCCTGGGCAGCAGGCATGTAGCGGGGGGGGGGGGGGGGTTGAGGGCTTCAGCCCCCCCCCCCAATTCTCATGGTGGTCGCGAAAGGCCTTACTGGTACATTATTTAAACTGTTATGTTATTCATATCATGATCTGATCACCATGCTCAATATATCCCATATGCATGGGGGTATTGGGGTAACAATACAAAAGGTTTGCTAGGGTAGACCCTCTTTCACTCAGACTCAGCCCCCCCCCTGAAACAAACTCACCCCCCCACCCCCCAAATCAAAATCCTTTTTATTTAGGCAGCTTGTTGACTCCACCATAAAGGGGACATAGGATAAAGCCTTAGACCGGAATCAGACCATTGGTTCATGCAATTCAGATTGGTCTACTGGACAGACAGTAGTTCTCCAGATTTTCATACAGGAGCCATTCCCTTGCCTATTGAAGATGTTTATTGTCAACAAAGTATGTTTTGTGCCACTGATAAAGACCTATCCACACCTTTGTTTGATCTGCAAACCAGCTCCCTTCCAAGTTTTGAATTTAGAGGTTGGGCAGTAACTTTTTCCGAACAGCACTGTGTAAAAAAGTTGAAAAAGGAATCAGTTCCTGATTTGAAAGTGTTAATCCTGTTTAATTATGTGGTACTTACTTTGAAAGTAGTTATTATACTCCAGAAACTTGGTTTCTGTGGCTGCTACAAACAATGTTGAATTGGTTGAGACTCTATGAGATATTCATTGAAAAACTATAGCCGAATGTTCTGCAGGATATCCCGCAAAAACAAAGCTATTGCAGTTTAATAAACTTTGCCCAAGATTTTTTTGGTGATAAAACCAATTAGAAAATGACATTCATTTCTGAATGTATATTTTCTGATTATATATGAGATTGTGTCAAATAATTAATAAAAAACAGAAAAAAAGAAAATGACATTCATAAACCAGGAACAAAAATTGTGTTACATAGTGAACCGTATATACTCGAATATCAGCTTTTTCGGGGCTGAAAAAGCCTCTCTTGGCTTATACTGGGGTCAAGCCGGGCAGTGGAGCTGGGAGGCGAGGCTCCGAAGCTGGCTGGCTGCTTCTCCTCCTCAGCTGACTGGCCTTGGAGGAAGAGGAGGATGAGGACGAGCGGCAGCGGAGTCCCCAGGCGAGGCTCCGATGCCGCTGTCACGGTTACCACTGCTTCTCCTCTACATAGGCTAGCTGGCCATGGTGGAGAACAATAATAATAATAATAATAATAATAATAATAATAATAATAATAATAATATTTTTTTCTATACCGCCCTCTCTCCCTGAGGGGACTCAGGATGGTTTACTGTTGAGATTAACTTCACAATTCAACAGCAGATCAGTTGCACAACTTCAGCGCTTTCCAGTAGCTTCTTCTGCACAGTATTTTCAGTCAACTGCTCCCACAGCCTGCAGTCACGCTGGAACCTTTTACAGACACTTGAGCACATCCCGGCCACTGTCAGTTTTACCATTGTCTTTCCCCCAGTCTAGATGATATTACAGACTTAACACAGCACACAGTTATATCTTGTCTTAGCAGACAGGTTCTTTTAATTACATATAGCCTTCGACGAACAACATCACAGCACAAGGAGAGGAATATACACTGTACATGACTTTCTTATATACAAGAATGCCAATATATGGCATTGAATGTTTGCCATATATGTGTACACTGTAATCCGCCCTGAGTCCTCTGCGGGGTGAGAAGGGTGGAATATAAAAGCTGTAAACAAACAAACAAACAAATAAATAAATGTCCTACTGGCGATTCTTTCTAATTAGTACTAATGCCACAATGAAATTTTTCCTTTTTTAGGGTATTCTTCTGAACTGGACCAAGGGCTTTAAGGCGACTGACTGTGAAGGGGAAGACGTTGTTTACTTGCTAAGGGAAGGAATTAAAAGAAGAGAGGTGAGAATATTCTTTTTGAGTTTTGATTGTACATTCAGAAGCATGGGGCTAAAATCTTTCTTCCACATCCTATTTTAATTTTTTTTTATTTTAACAATACAAAAAACAAAACAAAAAAACAAAACACATACCGTGCACACACAAACATTTACAATTCCCACCACCAACACGATTGTTTTCTTTTACATTTTCATTCTTTTGAGATAATCATTATATCTTTATATATATCTTTATACATTTCCCCGGTGGCGCAGTGAGTTAAACCCCTGTGCTGGCAGGTTCGAATCCGGGGAGAGGCAGATGAGCTCCCTCTATCAGCTCCAGCTCCTCATGCGGGGACATGAGAGAAGCCTCCCACAAGGATGATAAAAACATCAAATCATCCAGGCATCTCCTGGGCAACGTCCTTGCAGACGGCCAATTCTCTCACACCAGAAACTACTTGCAGTTTCTCAAGTCGCTCCTGACAAGACAAAAAAATAATAATTCCATTCTGTATACTATATAACATTTGTATCTTATTTCTTATTTCTATTATTTCTAATTTCTATTTTTATTGGAAGGATATGTAAACACATGTACATTGAAGAAGGTTAGAATAATGGTTTAGTCAGAGTTGGACAGTCTAATCTCCGGAATGATTCATAATATAGTTATTTACCCTTGTCCAGCTTTCTTCCATTTCTCTCATTCTATTTTCCTTAATTTTTAAATCATTTAATTTCACATTCATAATTTCACATTCCATTTGCTCCACCATATATTGGTACCATTTATTTACTGTCCATTTTGATTTATCTTTCCACCCTAATACTATTACTGCTTGTGCACATTCTATTACTGCTTCTTCTCCGGGACCCCTTCTATACTACCATATAATCCAGATTATCAAATCAGATCATCCACTTTATCTGCTTTGAACTGGATTATCTGAGTCTACACTGCTATATAATCCAGTTCAAAGCAGATAATCTGGATTTTATATGGCAGTGTAGAAGGGGCCCAAGAGAAAAGCTTCAATTTTTTTTCTCTCCTTAGAAGACTTGAGAATTTCTTTTTACTCATATAAAATGAGCAGATGGTGTTGATCATTTAAAAATTAATATCCTGCTGGTTATGAGTCACTGATACAACTGCAAGTTGCACATGAACAAGATAAAGACTAGCTAAATTGAGATCTTCAATTTCTTATGCCTCTTGTAAGATTTCCTGATTTAGGATATACTCGTATGAAGATACCCTTAAAAATATAGGCAGATTTGCTCTTTTATTATCTTTTCTATATTAAGTAACTAGCTTGGGGACCCAGCATTCTCTGGGTTACTTGAAGAAATCAATTTTTTTTAATTGTACAAAATGCATGCAAAATGAACTACAAGTCACATCATGGCAGGTTAACCCTGAAAAACTCCATCAGTACTCAAAGTTTGGTATGTTGGGCAAGTTTGCTGTTGATATATCATTATTGGGGTTCAGTGTGCTCTCTGACTGTAGGATAAACTACAGTTTCCATCATGGTGAGTCAGTCGCCACAAATCCCTCCAGTAGGTTGAGTTAGTCATGAGGTTCTGTGTGCCAAGTTTGGTCCAGGTCCACCATCGGCGGGGGTCACAGTTTCTCTGGTTGTGGGTGAACTACAACTCCCAGAAACCCCTCCAAATTTGCCATAATCAGATTTCGGCATGTTGGATATGTGTGTCAAATTTGGTCCGAGTCCATCTGTGTTTGGGTTCACAGTGCTCTCTGGATGTAGGTGAACTACAACTCCCCCAGATCAAGGTGAATTTTCCCCAAAGACCTCCAGTATTTTTTGCTGGTAATGGGAGCTCAGTGTGCCACGTTTGGTCCAATTCCATCTTTGGTGGAGTTCAGAGTGCTCATTGTTTGCAGGTAAACTATAAATTCCAGTACCCACATCTCCAAAATATCCAGGCCAATTCCCCTCAAAACCCAACAGTATTCAAATTTGGGCATATCGGGTATACATGTCAAGTTTGGTCCAGATCCACAATTGTTTGGGTTCATAGTGCACTCTGGATGTAGGTGAACTAGAACTCCTATAAATCCCTCCAAAGACCTCCAGTATTTTTTGTTGGTCATGGAAGTTCTCTGTGTCAAGTTAGTTCTAGGTCCATTGTTGGTGGAGTTCAGAGTGCTCTTAGATTGCAGGTGAACTATACATCCCAGGGCCTACAACTCCTATACATCTTGGTGAATTCTCACCGAACCTCTCTAGTATGTTCAGTTGCTGATCAATTCCTCTGTTTGCTGTGTGGCATAGAAAATAATAGGAAAGTATTAAGAGAGAGGCAAGGGGGCAGGGTCACTCAAATTTCACACCAATGCAGAGAGTAAGAAGCACTGGGATGTCTGTGGTGGAGGAAACACATACAATCTAGGATGAAATTGTCCCTGTATGAAAGCCTTTGCTTGGGTGGTAGGCGTTTGTGGAGGACATTGGCAGGGTTCTTGTACATGTTCATGGTGCTCACTATAACCTGCAGGATCATTGGAGGGAGGGCCATTGGTGTCTCCTGAGTAGTGGGAGCTATAGCTGTTTGTGGAGGCAGGAGCTTGTCTGTGTAAGTGGATACCCCACCCACACACATACATATATACATACATATTTTAACTCTTATTATGTGCATAGAAGATATGATGGATTTAAGAGCAAATTAAGCCTGAATTCTTACAAGAAGCCAAAATGACAAAACTGCGGCTATTGTAGTTTTGGACATATCATGATTTGGCATGACTGGTTGGAAAAGAAGCAAATGGAAAAGCTGTAGGGAAAAGAAGAAAGGCCACATCTATATAAATAAAAATGTAATGTTCGTTTGTGAGGTTAACATAACTCAAAAACCACTGGACGAATTGCCACCAAATTTGGACACAAGACACCTGCTACTCCAAGGAGTGACCATCACAAAAAAAAACCCTGATTTTGTAATTTGGGATTTGTAGCTGCTGGGATTTACAGTTCACCTACAATCAAAGAGCATTCTGAACTCCACCAGCGATGGAATTGAACCAGTCTTGGTATATAGGACTCCCATGACCAATAGCAAATTCTGGAAGGGTTTGGTGGGCATTGACCTTGAGTTTGGGAGTTGTAGTTCACCTACATCTAGAGAGCCCTGTGGACTCAAACAAGGATGGATCTGGACCAAACTTGGCACAAATACTCCATATGCACAAATATGAACACAGGTGGACTTTGGGGGAAATAGACCTTGACATTTGGGAGTTGTAATTACTGGGATTTGTAGTTCACCTACAATCAAACAGCATTCTTAACCCCACCAATGACAGAATTTGGGCAAATTTCCCACACAGAACCCCCATGACCAACAGAAAATACTTAAGGCCATCCAGTCCAACTCCCTTCACTGGGGCAAGAAAACGTAATCAAAGCCCTCCTGACAAAGAGCCATCCAGTCATAGATATAGATGGATATATATGATTCACAAACACACACAGAGAGATATAGTATCATAGATTTGAAAGGGATCCCTAAAGAAGGACACTATGTTGCATGTTTCAGAGTACGCAAACCAGACACTCTCCACATTAACACTGACAAAGAAAGAACGAGAAATACTGTCGAAGGCTTTCATGGCCGGAATCACTGGGTTGTTGTAGGTTTTTTCGGGCTATATGGCCATGGTCTAGAGGCATTCCCTCCTGACGTTTTGCCTGCATCTATGGCAAGCATCCTCACTACTTCTGAGGATGCTTGCCATAGATGCAGGCGAAACGTCAGGAGAGAATGCCTCTATACCATGGCCATATAGCCCGAAAAAACCTACAACAACCCAATGAGAAATACTGTTTACTCACAAGCACAAAGAAATTACATATATTAGAAACCAGCACTTTCTCATTACTTTATTTTCCAGATCACGGACTGGGCCACAGCAACGTGTGGCAGGGGATGGCTAGTTATAGATAAATTGAGTAAAAGAAGCAAAGGTTCTAGGTTTGTAAGGCCTCAAGAAACTGTTGAGATGGACAGAGTTCATGGCAGAGCTCTCATTTATAGTGTTGTCATAAGTCGAGACTGACTTATCAGGATATAATAACATTAGAAAAAAATAGGAACACAAAGTAGAATTTATAAGGTCAGTCTTGAGTGCTGGTGAGACAGAAATGTTATTTCTAGATCTTATGCCCTGGGGGGTCGGTCTCATAAAACCAGACCAGTGTGGCTCAGCATAGGACAAGTGATACAAGGAATGCCAGGATATAATCCACTGGGCTTATCTCAGAGATTTGCTTCTTTAAAAAAACCCTTAAACCTCAAGGCCCACCGAGAGCTTGGTACAAATGCCATAAACATGGGATTAAAGAATTCTCCACCCAGGAATGTGTTTTGAAAACCAAAAATGAACAGAGATCCTAGTCTTTCCACATAGAAATCCTTCCTGGTTGCTCCAAGGTTTCTTCATTTCAGCAATACGTTTATGAGACGTGAATTCTTTAGAACAGGCAGATAGTGCTCAGGAACTATTTATAATTTTGAACCGGATTCGAACCAGGTCGCAGGTTCGCATCCGGGGAGAGGCGGATGAGCTCCCTCTATCAGCTCTAGCTCCTCATGCAGGGACATGAGAGAAGCCTCCCACAAGGATGATAAAAACATTAAAATCATCCGGCCGTCCCCTGGGCAACGTCCTTGCAGACGGCCAATTCTCTCACACCAGAAGCGACTTGCAGTTTCTCAAGTCACTCCTGACACGACAAAAAAAATTCTATAATTAATTCATAGTTTTATGTATTATTCAGTTATTTATTTATCATGTCAGGAGCAAACCAAACAGTTGTATTGCATTTTTAACAAACAAACAAACAAAACACAAAGTTTGCAAGCTTGGTAGTTGATTAAATGTCCTTTGACCAGTAGCTGGCCACTTGGAGTGCCTCTGGTGTTACTGCAAGAAGGTCCTCCATTGTGCATGTGGCAGGGCTCAGGTTGCATTGCAGCAGGTGGTCTGTAGTTTGCTCTTCTCCACACTCCATGTCGTGGATTCCACTTTGTAGCCCCGTTTCTTAAGGTTGGCTCTGCATCTCATGGTGCCAGAGCGCAGTCTGTTCAGCGCCTTCCAAGTCGCCCAGGGGGGAGTCTCTCATTTGGTATCAGCCATTGATTGAGGTTCTGGTTTGAGCCTGCCACTTTTGGACTCTCGCTTGCTGAGGTGTTCCAGCGACTGTCTCTGTAGATCTTAGAAACTATTTCTTGATTTAAGTCGTTGACGTGCTGGCTGATACCCAAACAGGGGATGAGCTGGAGATGTCACTGCCTTGGTCCTTTCACTATTGGCTGCTACTTCCCGGTGGATGTCAGGTGGTGCAATACCAGCTAGACAGTGTAGTTTCTCCAGTGGTGTAGGGCAAAGACCCCCGTGATAATGCGGTATGTCTCATTAAGAGTCACATTATTCAGTTGGAGACTATAATGTGATACATTATTAGTCCTTTTCAACAATTTTTATTTGGTATACTTTTTGGTAGTATCTTGACTGTACAAGTTAAATTAAGGTAACAGTCTTTGGAGCCATCTGAATTTAGAAGGAATATATTTTTTCTGTCTATTGCATTTAAAGGAGCTAAAAGTCCCTTCTTCTACACTGCCATATAATCCATATTATCAAAACAGATAATCCACGTTATCTGCTTTGAACTGGATTATATGAGTCTACATTGTGATATAATCTAGTTAAGAGCAGAGAATCTGGATTTTATATGGTAGCGTAGAAGGTGCCAAAGGGGTGAGTAACTGGCCCCAAATCACCCATTGACTTTCATGGGGACTTGAATTGAAACAGGTTTTGCATTCTGACTATTACAGTTTTAGGCGGTAATTAGGATATTTCAATTCCTTTGATTTATATCAGGGGTCCTCAAACTTTTTAAACAGAGGGCAAGGTCACAGTCCCTCAAATTGTTGGAGGGCCGGATTATAATTTGAAAAACAAAAGAATGAATTCCTATGCACACTGCACATATCTTATTTGTAGTGCAAAAACACTGAAAAAAATAAAATAATTACGAACAATTTTAACAAATATAAACTTATTAGTATTTCAGTGGGAAGTGTAGGCCTTCTGATGAAGTAGGATTGTTGTTGTAGTAGTGTGCTTTCAAGTCGTTTCTGACTTAAGTTGACCCTGAGTGAGGGCCGGGTAAATGACCTTGGAGGGCTGTATCTGGCCCCCAGGCCTTAGTTTGAGGGCCCCTGATTTATATAGTCAAGGAGGCTTTCTAGGCAATTATGAGTTTAGTTTACTCCTATATGAAACAAAAATTGCTGTCTTGATTTTAATATCATCCTAAGTGGTAGATACAGATTTATTCACTGAACTAGAATGGTAGTTAATACTGTTTTGGGAATGTTTTATTAAAGCTAATCATCTTGGCATATTGTTTGTTTGAAGGAATTTGATCTGGATGTTGTGGCCGTGGTAAATGATACAGTTGGGACAATGATGACGTGTGCCTATGAAGATCCAAATTGTGAAATTGGACTCATTGTGGGTGAGTATGAGGCCAGCTTCAATTTGGTTGGGGAGTGAGTGTGGTACCATTTAAAAACTCAAATACTCATTTGAGTGATCTGATTCATTCATACCCCATCTACACTGCCATATAAAATACAGATTATCTGCTTTGAACCAGATTATATGGCAGTTTTGTCAGTGGTATCTCTGCACAGCAAGGCAAGGAAACACATCTATCACCGTCTCCTTTAAGCTATAAACTAATTTATTGTACATCTATTTACATTAGAAGCTAAGCACATCGTTAAACTACTTCCTCTCCATCCGGCAGCTACATCGTGAACACAGAACACGCTGTTATCAGTAATAGTCCACACGTCCTACATTCCAGAGTGACATATGACGTAGACAAACACAGAACACGCTGTTATCAGTAATAGTCCACACCTCCTGCATTCCAGAGTGACGTATGACGTAGACGAACACAGAACACGCTGTTATCAGTAATAGTCCACACCTCCTGCATTCCAGAGTGACGTATGACGTAGACGAACACAGAATATGCTGTTATCAGTAATAGTCCACACCTCCTGCATTCCAGAGTGACGTATGACGTAGACGAACACAGAACTCGCTGTTATCAGTAATAGTCCAACCTCCTGCATTCCAGAGTGATGTATGACGTAGATGCACTACCCTGCTTACACTGCTCTCTGCACTAAGATTTATGACCTCTCTAGGGATGCCAATTCCCTTCATGGTTCAGTTAACCCTATCCACACAGAAATTACACTTGACACATAGCATTGCATTTTTAAACATACGCACACACTTTGAAATCTACATTATACATTTCAAAACACATCAAGTTTAGACTCATATAATCCAGTACCAAGCAATCTAGATTTATGTAATGCAGTACCAAACAGATAATGTGGATTATCTTCTTTGATTATATGGCAAGATTATGTTGCAATGTAGACTTATATAATCCAGTTCCAATCAGATAATGTAGATTATCTGCTTTGATAATTTGGATTATATGGCTGTGTAGAAAGGGCCTAGGAAGGGACCAGACCTTACAGAGCACTGTTGAATTTTTCTAAGGGCTTGTGGGTTTGAGATCCCTTCCATATAAAATCCAGATTATCTGCTTTGAACTGAATTATAAAGCAGTGTAGACTCATATAATACAATTCCATGCAGATAATGTGGATTACTGTATATACTCGAGTATAAGCCGACCCGAATATAAGCCGATGCACCTAATTTTACCACAAAAAACTGGGAAAAGGTATTGACTCAAGTATAAGCCGAGGGTGGAAAATGCAGTAGCATGGGTCAATTTCAAAATAAAAATAGATACCAATAAAATTACATTAACTGAGGCATCAGTAGGTTCGATGTTTTTGAATCTATATAAATAAAAATGTAATGTTCATTTGCAGGATTAACATTACTCAAAAACCACTGGATGAATTGACACCAAATTTGGACACAATAGAAATATCAGGCCAACAAATGACCATCACTCATAAAAACACTGAAAAAAACAGCAAAAGAGACTTTAAAAGCAAAAAAACCCCAAAAAATAAATTACAACGCATGGACAAAACCACATATATACGCAAACACACATATACACAAATATATACACACATATATACACACACAAAACACGTATACACAGACTGGGCCACAGCAACAAGTGACAGGGGACAGCTGGTGTTTACATAAAACCGTAATTTAAGATAAGACAGTCCAATTCTAATTAAACCATTATTCTAACCTTCTTCAATGTCAATGCGATAAGGTATCCTTCGAATAATAAGTAATAGAGTAAAATAATAAATGTAATAATACTAGTAGAGTAAAATAATAAATGTAATAAAATAACAATAATAACAGTGTAAACTAATAAATAACATTGACTTGAGTATAAGCCGCGGGGAACTTTTTCAGCCTAAAAAAAGGGCTGAAAAACTAGGCTTATACTCGAGTATATACAAAATATGGCAAAGTGGAAGGGGCCTGAGTTACTGACTCATGTAGTAGACAAAAAGAAACTGCAGCATTCCTCTGTCTGTATTTCAGAACCCTGGATTTTGGTGCTCTTTCAATACAATGTGAAAGAACACCAGAAAGTCAGTTTTGCTTTTCACTTGTCGGAGTCCATAATGTGGTCAGTAGTGACCACAATTGGAGAGATTGATCTCTATATCTGCAGTTAGTAGTGTTGGGCAGGAGATTGAAAACTAAGGCAGGGGCGCCCTACCAAGCTGTTATGGTGTCATGACACATGTCATAAAGCTGCCCCTCCTGATGTCTTGGCAAGGGCCACTCACACATGTCAAATTCTGTTTAAAATTTTGAAAATACATACAAATAGAATTTAAAGCTCACTCAAAATAAGTACAATGAAAGGGGTAGATAGAACATAAGGAGCATTTTAGAATTGAGGCTATGATTGGAATGTATATACATACCGTATATTCCGGCATATAAGACGACTGGGCGTATAAGACGACCCCCAACTTTTCCAGTTAAAATATAGAGTTAAGACGACTCCCATGCATAAAACTACACCCACGTATAAGACGACCCCTGACTTTTGAGAAGATTTTCTTGGGTTAAAAAGTAGTCTTATATGCCAGAATATACTGTAATTTAAAGTGTCAGAGATTGACGATGCCCAGCGGAAGGAATGCTAGATCAAACAGACACTGAGTTGCAGATAAGGACTCTACAAGCTTTGAGTTACAAAAGAAAACTAAGTTTTACTAAGCACACACAACAAACACGTCTTTCTACAGCGAGCAACATTCAGGAAGAGAACTAGTCAAAACCGAAAGCCAAAACACTTCTTTATGTCTGCTTATCTTCTCTTGCTAGAGGCTGGCAACTCCCTTCAGTTTCTCACCAGAACAAAACTTATCTTACTTTCTCAAGTTCACTTAATCACAGCCTCAATTCTAAACATTTCTGCATGCCATTTTCAATTCACAGTGGCATCCATATTTGCAATACATAGAAGCACATTTAAAACACATACATAAATCAATAAATCCTGACATAAAGTTATATCAAATCTTTAACCCATTGCCCCCAGTGGCGCAGTGGGTTAAAGCGCTGAGCTGCTGAGCTTGTTGACCGAAAGGTCACAGGTTCGAATCCAGGGAGCGTCGTGAGCTCCCGCTGTCAGCCCCAGCTTCTGCCAACCTAGCAATTTGAAAACATGCAAATGTGAGTAGATCAATAGGTACCACTCCGGCAGAAAGGTAACAGCGCTCCATGCAGTCGTGCAGGCCACATGACCTTGGAGGTGTCTACGGACAACGCCGGCTCTTCGGCTTAGAAATGGAGATGAGCATCACACCCCAGAGTCAGACATTTACCTTAAACAAATCCTTCTCCCAAAACAAGATTTCCAGTGGCTTAAAACACAATGAAAGAATGTATTATCGAAGGCTTTCATGGCCGGGATCACTGGGTTGTTGTAGGTTTTTCCGGGTTATATGGCCATGTTCTGGAGGCAATTTTTCTCCTCTGATGTTTCGCCTGCATCTATGGCAAGCACCCTCAGAGGTAGTGAGGTCTGCTGGAAGTAGGAAAAATGGGTTTATATATCTGTGGACCATGCAGCTGTGGACAAGTCTACATAGGGACCACCAAACGCAGTGCCCAGACACGCATCAAGGAACATGAAAGGCACTGCAAACTACTCCAACCAGAGAAATCAGCCATAGCAGAGCACCTGATGAACCAACCTGGACACAGCATATTATTTGAGAACACAGAAGTGCTGGACCACTCTCACAACCACCATGTCAGACTACACAGAGAAGCCATTGAAATCCACAAGCATGTGGACAATTTCAACAGAAAGGAGGAAACCATGAAGATGAACAAAATCTGGCTACCAGTATTAAAAAACTCAAAAATTACAACAGCAAAACAACAGAGAGTAAACAATCAGGCACATCAATTCACTCTCAACTAGAGATTCCCCCCAGGCGCTTCCAGGCCATTGAATGCAAATCAAGTTGATCAGCTGAAACATTACCCTGGTCATTCCACAGATATATAAACCCATTTTTCCTACTTCCAGCATTCCTTACTACCTCTGAGGATGCTTGCCATAGATGCAGGCGAAACGTCAGGAGAAAAATTGCCTCCAGAACATGGCCATATAGCCCGGAAAAACCTACAACAACCCACAATTAAAGAAGTTATAAACACAGTTGAACTGAAAGCAATTAAAAGCACAGCAATTAGACAAGTTCAGTGTTTACTGATTACAAGGTTTCCCTCAGAAACTAGTCAACTGCCTAAAGCAGGGGTCCTCAAACTTTTTAAATAGAAGGCCAGGTCACGGTCCCTCAAACTGTTGGAGGGCCGGATTATAATTTGAAAAAAAAAAACATGAATGAATTCCTATGCACTGCACATATCTTATTTGTAGTGCAAAAACCACTTAAAAACAATACAATAATTAAAATGAAGAATAATTTTAAGAAATCTAAGTTTATTACTATTTCAATGGGAAGTGTGGGCCTGCTTTTGGCTGATGAGATAGGATTGTTGTTGTTGTTGTTGTTGTTGTTGTGTGCTTTCGAGTCGTTGCAGACTTAGGTTGACCCTAAGCGAGGGCTGGGTAAATGACCTTGGAGGGCCACATCCAGCCCCCGGGCCTTAGTTTGAGGACCCCTGGAAAGTCTACCAGGAGAAAAACCAAGGAAGGGATCATCCTATTCTCCCTTAGTAGTGTTCCTCTATTTGCTCCTTAAATTACACTATGTCACAAAATTTGAACAAATTTCTGTTCCTGCTTTGCTAGTGCCATTTCCTGTTTAATTGGGTGGTACTTACTTTGAATGTAGTTGTTATACTCCAGAAAATTTGTTTTTTTTTTTCCTGCCACAAACTAGGTTTAATTGGTTGGGACACTATGAGATATTCATTGAATATTTATAAAAAAATATGCTGCAAGATGTCCCATACAAACAAAGTTTCTGCAGTTTAATAAACTTTTCCCATGTTTTTATGATAGAACCAATTAGGAAATGACATTTATACAAAAATTGTGTTACATATTGTTATCTCTACACTCACCAGGAAGGCCTTCTGGCATATCCCTCCCCTAACCTGGAAGTAGGGTTTCTTTTCATTTGCACAGTACCAAAACAATGTGATTGTTATATACCCATAATGACACAATATGGATACATTTCATTATTTCACTATTATGGCTTCTATCCCATATCTTCTAAGGAGTTCAGGGTAGTGTATGTGATTTTCCAAAGCTTTGCTATTCGAATATTTATTTATTATTTATTTACAGTATTTATATTCTGCCCTTCTCACCACGCAGGGGACTCAGGGCGGATTACAATGTACATATACATGGCAAACATGCAATGCCAGAGACACACAACATATATAGACAGACACACAGAGGCTATTTAACATTCCAGCTTTTTCATGAGGGTATTCTGGCCACCAGGGGTGCTGTCGCTTCACCGTCCATTTGTGACACTGATGAAGTACTTCCTCAATCTTTGCATGCTTGCTGGAGATTTTTATGACCTTGTAAATTAGCCTCCTCGCATAAGCGGTACCTAAATTTCCTACTTGACAGATGCTGCTTTCTTTTGGGCTCTTTGAACTTTCCAGCTTTTAACTTTTAAAATTTTCACATATGGTCCTACCCATGTTTTTAAAATGTGTTGTGTTATTATTGTATTGTTTTGCTTTTTATGAGTTATTTATTGTTTTGTTGTTGTTGTTTTCATGATGTTATTGGGCTTGGCCTCTTGTAAGCCGCACCGAGTCCTGCGGGAGATGGTAGCGGGGTATAAGAACAATAAATAAATAAATAAGGTTGACAGCAAGCTGCACAAATTGGTCGGAAGCTCACTCCGACTCGGGCTGGCTTTGAACTCATGACCTTTTGGTCAGTAGTGATCTTAATGCAGCTGACTCCCAGCCAGCTGCGCCACACTCCCGGTGCTATGTTATTGTTATATACCCAAAATGACACAATATGGATACATTTCATTATTTCGCTATTATGACTTCTTTCCCATATCTTATAAGGAGTTCAGGGTAGTGTATGTGATTTTCTGAAGCTTTGCTATTACAATAACCCCATGTGGTTGTTTAAGCTATCTCAAGGTCACCCATTTAGCTTCAAAGTATTTGTATTTGGGTCTTACTCTGTCTTGGAGGCTCTTGAAATATAACCACAAATTGTTGTTTTGGTATTGACTCAAACAATTTTTTTTACAGGAACGGGTAGTAATGCATGCTATATGGAAGAAATGAGAAATATCGAGATGGTAGAAGGAGAGCAAGGGAGAATGTGTGTGAACATGGAATGGGGTGCCTTTGGGGACAATGGATGCCTTGACGACATCAGGACGATCTATGACAAAGCTGTCGACGAATACTCTTTAAACAGTGGCAAGCAAAGGTATTTACTGCTGAAGTGTGGTGAGAAATGTGAAGGAAAGAACTTAATTGTGAGAGCTGTTCAGCAGTGGATCTCTCTACCCCGAAGTGTGGTGGAGGCTCCTTCTTTGGAGACTTTTAAACGAAGTCTGGATGGCCATCTGTCGGAGTTGCTTTGAATGTGATTTTCCTGCTTCTTGGAGGGGGTTGGACTGGATGGCCCATGAGGTCTCTTCCAACTCTATGATTCTATGAAACACTTGGGATTTTGTGGATTTTGTGGAACCAGAATATGGAAGGTTTTCCCATCACTGTTCTTGTGCCTTCTTTCCATCTTTCTTCTTATGATTTCCCAAACTTTCACCTGGAAAGGTGAGACAGAGCAGCTGAGAAAGCTTGTCTAAATCAGGGGCTGTTCCAGCAGAGTGATGCTAGGACAACTGAAGCTATACTGAATTGAAATCCTTCCCTGCCTAGGAATGCAGGAAATTAGTTAATACAACCCTCATTGAATGTTTTGCCAGCATCTGGGCTGTGTCTTTGTTCTGGAATGTCTTCTCTTTCACTTTTCCCATGGCTTTATTTACTCTTCTCTGGCAAATCTTAGGAATCAGAGAAGATCCGCTGATAGGTGTCAGCTGGCAGGAGAGTGCTTCTGCTGTCATTATGAGATTTTTGTCAATATGAGATTCTTGTTACAGTGGGGGGGGGGAGTGTTTAGTCAGACACCAATTGTACAAGTTCTCCCACTTAAAAAGATGTGAGAGGCCTGTAATTGACATCATAGGTAGACCTCAACTTTGAGAGACAACATGAGAAAACATATCCAGAAAAATCACATTGTCTGATTTTTAATGAATTTATTTGCAAATTATGGTGGAAAATAAGTATAACAAAAGTTCATCTCAAGACTTTGTGATATATCCTTTATTGGCAATGACAGAGGTCAAACGTTTTCAGTAAGTCCTCACAAGGTTGGCACACACTGTTGCTGGTATGTTGGTCCATTCCTCCATGCAGATCTCCTCAAGAGCAGTGGTGTTTTGGGGCTGTCACTGGGCAACATGGACTTTCAACTCCCTCCAAAGGCTTTCTATAGGGTTGAGATCTGGAGACTGGCTAGGCCACTCCAGGACCTTGTAATGCTTCTTACGGAGCTACTTCATTGCCCTGCGGTGTGCTTAGGATCATTGTCATGCTGAAAGACCCAGCCATGTTTTATCTTCAATGTCCTTGCTGATGGAAGGTTTGCACTCAAAATCTCACAATACATGGCCTTATTCATTCTTTCATGTATGTGGATCAGTCGCCCTGGTCCCTTTGCAGAGAAACAGCCCCGAAGCATGATGTTGCCACCCCCGTGTTTCATAGTATGGTGTTCTTTGGATGCAACTCAGCATTCTCTTTCCTCCAAACATGACGAGTTGTGTTTCTGCCAAACAGTTCTTCTTTGGTTTCATCTTCTTTGGTTTCAATTGACTGTACTTGCTGGAATTTTTCGGGTAATAATTCAGAAAAGTAACTTTTCAAGGGTTGGAAAACAGCGCACTCTCAGTTGGTCTCAAGGCCATGATTTTTTGCTAAACAGCTGTTCCTGTGTATGATTGTAGGTATGAGAAGATGATCAGTGGAATGTACTTGGGAGAAATTGTCCGGAACATTTTGATCGACTTCACAAAAAAGGGATTTCTCTTCAGAGGACAAATTTCAGAAGCACTGAAAACGAGGAGTATTTTCGAAACAAAATTTCTTTCACAGATTGAAAGGTAAGTGAGCTAAATAAGACTGCAAAAGAAATGAGTATCAACATCCTGCTAATCGCACTTACTTTCAGCTTATTTGTCATGTCAGGGCAACCAGTCAATTATATTACATTTCTAACAGAACAAAACAAACAAACAGATAAAAACCCACAAAGTTTGCAAACTTGGTAGTTGATTAAATGTCCTTTGACCAGTATCTGGCCACTTGGAGTGCTTCTGTTGTTGCTGCAAGGAGGTCCTCCATTGTGCATGTGGCAGGGCTCAGGTTGCAGTGAAGTAGGTGGTCTGTGATTTGCTCTTCTCCGCACTCGCATGTCGTGGATTCCACTTTGTAGCCCCATTTCTTGAGGTTGGCTCTGCATTTCGTGGTGCCAGAGCGCAGTCTGTTCAGCGCCTTCCAAGTTGCCCAGTTTTCTGTGTGCCCAGGGGGAGTCTCTTGGTTGAGGTTCTGGGTTTGGGCCTGCCGCTTTTGGACTCTCGCTTGCTGAAGTGTTCCAGCGAGTGTCTCTGTAGATCTTAGAAAACTATTTCTAGATTTAAGTCATTGATGTGCTGGCTGATACCCAAACAGGGGATGAGCTGGAGATGTCTCTGCCTTGGTCCTTTCACTATTGGCTGCTACTTCCCGGAGGATGTCAGGTGGTGCAATACCAGCTAAACAGTGTAATTTCTCCAGTGGTGTAGGGCGCAGACACCCAGTGATAATGCGGCATGTCTCATTAAGAGCCACATCCACTGTTTTAGTGTGGTGAGATGTGTTCCACACTGGGCATGCGTACTCAGCAGCAGAGTAGCATAGCGCAAGGGCAGATGTCTTCACTGTATCTGGTTGTGATCCCCAGGTTGTGCCAGTCAGCTTTCGTATGATATTGTTTCTAGCACCCACTTTTTGCTTGATGTTCAGGCAGTGCTTCTTGTAGGTAAGAGCACGGTCCAGAGTGACTCCCAGGTATTTGGGTGTGCTGCAATGCTCCAGTGGGATTACTTTCAGCTATGTAATGGCTTTTCCAGTAATGCTCCATTGTGAGTTTCCAGAGTGTTTCAGTTGATCTTTCATGGTATCGTCCCTGTTTTTGGAGCTGCTTTGTGGTCACACCTTGAAATTTACATTGCTTATGGCACTGTAATATTGCAGTCTGTCACTAGATGTCAATGTGGTGTCCTTTTGCTTCAACTTGCATGGATACATTTGGTTACGCAGTCTTGCAATGAAAGCAGGTGTTTGGGCTTCAGGACAAGGAATGGCCTTTAGAACACTTCAATCTTCATTTATTATCTATATTCTCCTCCAAGTACTGTATTTTCTGGCGTATAAGACTACTTTTTTACCCAGGAAAATCTTATCAAAATCGGGGGTCATCTTATACGCCGGGTATCGTCTTATAGGGCGGGTACTGAAATTTACAAGCCAGACTTGAGAATCTGTCGTTGCCGCATATGTTTTTTTTTTTTTTTGTCGTGTCAGGAGTAACTTGAGAAACTCCAAGTCGCTTCTGGTGTGAGAGAATTGGCCGTCTGCAAGGACGTTGCCCAGAGGATGCCCGGATGAATTTGATGTTTTATCATCCTTGTGGGAGGCTTCTTTCATGTCCCCGCATGAGGAGCTGGGGCTGATAGAGGGAGCTCATCCGCCTCTCCCCGGATTCGAACCTGCGACCTGTCGGTCTTCAGTCCTGCCGGCACAGGGGTTTAACCCACTGCGCCACCGGGGACTCGCCGCATATGGTGGGGAGAGCTCAAAAACGGCTGTGGTCGCATCCCTGCCGTATGCGGTGACAGTATGAAAGCAGCCAAGAGCGGCGCTGTACAAGTATGGTAGACGAAAAATCCACTCACAAGAATTCATGGAAAGAAGTATTTATTTATTTATCGTGTCAGTATCAACCAGACAATGGAAAGAAGGTCCCAATGATGAGGTGAGGGGATGCCTCACTGGGAAGGTGTAAGTGAAGGGCGGAGCAATCTGCAGGCATCCGGGATGCCTGGGATATGGAAAAAAGAAATAGAGGGATGCTGTGCCCAGAAAAACACACCTCTTTCACCCATCTGGCCCGCCCTTGTATCCTATTACTGTACATCCTTCTCTGCCTCTCAGATCACACTCCTGAGGACTGCAGCAAAGTAGCGCAGGTATGCATGTGTGAGATCTGAGAGGCAGAGAAGGAAGTATGATGATAGAAAAATTACCATATTGAAACAAAATCTGATTTTTTTTAAAAAAATGGTGGTAGTCTTATATGGCGAGTATATCCCAAACTCTATATTTTAACTGGAAAAGTTGGGGGTCGTTTTATATGCCCAGTCATCTTATACGCCGGTAATACGGTATACCTGTAATTAATCCCCCACATTTTTGAAGATCATTAAAAAAAAAATCCCCAAAGACAAATCGTAGATGTTTTGAAGCTGAACCATAGCCAAAAAGTTAGTCAATGTCATGAAGCTGTTGGATAGTCAATGCAATCCAAATGATTGTTGACAAGTTGGAATGTGTCCAGAGGAGGGTGACTCAAATGATCAAGGGTCTGGAGAACAAGCCCTATGAGGAGCGGCTTAAGGAGCTGGGCATGTTTAGCCTGAAGAAGAGAAGGCTGAGAGGAGATATGATGAGAGCCATGTATAAATATGTGAGAGGAAGCCACAGGGAGGAGGAGGGAGCAAGCTTCCTTTCTGCTTCCCTGGAGACTAGGACGCAAGGGAGCAATGGCTTCCAACTACGAGAGAGGAGATTCCATCTGAACACGAGGAAGAACTTCCTGACTGTGAGAGCCGTTCAGCAGTGGAACTCTCTGCCCCGGAGTGTGGTGGAGGCTCCTTCTTTGGAAGCTTTTAAACAGAGGCTGGATGGCCATCTGTCAGGGGTGATTTGAATGCAATATTCCTGCTTCTTGGCAGGGGGTTGGACTGGATGGCCCATGAGGTCTCTTCCAACTCTTTGATTCTATGATTCCATGATTTTTGTTAGCAGAAGAATGCAACATCTAAAGTTACAAATACACAGTGAATTGATTTGATCAAGGAAGCTATAGCCCTGCGTTAGAAGTCCCTCATTCATAGGGTTGCCACAAATCAAAGCAAGCTTAAAGTTGCATAATAAGAACAATTTCTTCAGTGTTCCATAATTCCACTGGCTTTTCAGATTTTTTTTTGGAAATTAGTTTTTTAACAACAAGATGTTAGTGTCTTTGCACTAAGCATGTCAGCATCATGTTTTGGTTTTGCCTCCCATATCCTATTATTTTCTTCATATCCAGATTGCAGTGTGTCATTAAGAAGGCCCTCAACACATTTTACCAAGAAAGTGCTGGAATGAAGAGCCTCTCATAAAGATCTCGAAATTTAGGCAGACTTATATGAAAGTGTACAGTCCTTCATATAACCTGGGTCCAACAAATCTGGCACTTCGTAGGGCATAGCCACCCCTTTGAATTTTGCTCAGAAGCATATTGGTAGCTAAGGGAACTGTTGTAAACAATGGAGATGTGTGCTCCCCTTAAATAATACTAATATGTTGCTACTATAAATTACCAGATGTATTGTAAGACAAACCTTTGTGGATTAGATCAGATCATACATTGTCGAGGTGCCATCCGTCATATTTAACTTGAAACTAATTTTGGAGTGGGGTTGAGTATTTGAAAGCTTGGTAATGTGGAACCAGGTGAAGCCTGTATCATGGTTAGATCTAGAGATGGGTTCGGGATCTGCTTATCTTTGCGATCGCATCTTCCCCTATGAACCAGCGCGTACCTTGAGACCTTCTGGGGAGGCACTGCTTACTCTCCCCCCGCCATCTCAAGCACGGTTGGTGGGGACGAGGGAGAGGGCCTTCTTGGTGATGGCCCCTCGGCTCTGGAACTCCCTCCCGAGGGAGATCAGACAGGCTTCCACTTTGTCCCCTTTCCGAAGTCAACTAAAAACCTGGATGTTCTGATGTGGTTTTGATTAAGCAGTCCACCAGTAATTTTCCTGTCCCTACTTTAAGCTAATGCTTTACACTGGCCCTCTTATTGTCTACCTCAACATTTTTGGTGACAGTATTTCCTGCCCTGCCTATTTGATGGTTGCACTTTCCTTGCTCTCCCTTCAGAATGTATTGCACTCCGTGAATCTGTATCTCAGCTATGTTCTTTTTTCTCAGCCATATTGTGTTGTTAACAGTTGTGTTAACTGGAGAAATCACACTGCTTAGCCGGTATTGCACCACCTGACATCCGCCGGGAAGTTGCAGCTAATAGTGAAAGGACCAAGGCAGAGACATCTCCAGCTCATCCCTTATTTGGGTATCAGTCAGCACATCAACGACTTAAATCAAGAAATAGTTTTCTAAGATCTACAGAGACACTCGCTGGAACACCTCAGCAAGCGAGAGTCCAAAAGTGGCAGGCTCAAACCCAGCACCTCAATCCATGGCTGATACCAAATGAGAGACTCCCCCCTGGGCACACAGAAGACTGGGCGACTTGGAAGGCGCTGAACAGACTGCGCTCTGGCACCACGAGATGCAGAGCCAATCTTAAGAAATGGGGCTACAAAGTGGAATCCATGACATGCGAGTGTGGAGAAGAGCAAATCACTGACCACCTGCTGCAATGCAACCTGAGCCCTGCCACATGCACAATGGAGGACCTTCTTGCGGCAACACCAGAGGCACTCCAAGTGGCCAGATACTGGTCAAAGGACATTTAATCAGCTACCAAGTTTGCAAAATTTGTGGTTTTTTTAATCTGTTTGTTTTGTTCTGTTAGAAATGTAATACAATGTTCTGGTTGCGGATGACACGATAAATAAACAGTTGCGTGTGTTTTTTATTTTATCTGATGTTTTTATTGGTGTGTTTTACTTGTAATTTTGGGCTTGTCCCTTGTAAGCTGTCCCGGGTCCCCTAGGGGAGATGGTTGGCGGGATATAAAACTAAAGTTGTGGTTGTTGTTGTTGTTGTTGGACTATAATCCCCAGAATTCTCTGTCAGCACTGGCCATGTTGACTGATGATTTGGGGAGGTACTACAAAAGGTAACTTTCCTAAAATTACCTTTCCTACAAAAGGTTTCGTTGTTCATTCGTTCAGTCATCTCCGACTCTTTGTGACCTCATGGACCAGCCCATGCCAGAGCTCCCGTCACCACCCCCAGCTCCTTCAAGGTCAGTCCAATCACTTCAAGGTAACTTTCCTAAAATCTGACAAAACTTGTTTCCAACAAGTTTTGCCTTCTTGGGGTCTGCAGCCAGCCTGCATGTTGTGTGCTATACTGCATTTGTTGAATCCGACAACAGTCCTGAAATGTGGCTTCAGCTACAGAAAGCAAATGCTTTTGAAAACTCACTTGAAATCTGTTTTCACTCCTCACCCTTCTTTTTCAACAGTGATCGGTTAGCATTGCTTCAGGTCCGTGCGATCCTCCAGCAGCTTGGTCTGAACAGCACTTGCGATGACAGTATCATTGTCAAGACGGTGTGCGGAGCTGTGTCAAAAAGGGCAGCTCAGCTGTGTGGAGCTGGGATGGCTGCTGTGGTAGACAAAATAAGGGAGAACAGAGGACTGGACCATCTGGATGTCACTGTAGGCGTGGATGGTACTCTGTATAAGCTTCACCCCCAGTAAGTTTGGGATGTGTTTGTGTTTATGGTTTGCCTCTGTTTTCTGTAAAGCCGGGAAGGGGAAATGTTTGACTGTCTAGATTTTTTGGACTGCAGCTCTCACCTGCAGCTTCTCCCATTTCATGACATTTTATGGAAAGCTCTTCAGTCATCCCTCTCCCCTGCCACTTTATTCATTACTTTTGAGGATTGTGCTTAGGCCCCTCCACATCTTGTAATCCTACCTTATATGTGGCTGCCATATTTATTATTTATTTACAGTATTTGTATTCCGCCCTTCTCACCCTGCAGGGGACTCAGGGCAGATTACAATGTACATATACATGGTAAACATTCAATGCCATAGACACACAACATACATAGAAAGACACACAGAGGATATTTAACATTCCAGCTTTTTCATGAGGGTATTCTGGCCACCAGGGGAGCTGTAGCTTCACCGTCCATTTGTGACACTGATGAAGTACTTCCTCGTTCTTTGCATGCTTGCTGGAGATTTTTATGGTGTCGGAAATTAGCGTAGGTGGTACCTAAGTTTCCTACTTGACAGATGCAACTGTCTTTTGGGCTGAAAAGGTCAACAGCAAGCTACACAACTTGGTCAGAAGCTCACTCCGACTTGGGCTGGCTTCGAACTCATGACCTTTTGGTCAGTAGTGATCTTAATGCAGCTGACTCCCAGCCAGCTTGCCACTGTCCCAGTGCTATGTGATTGCTATATACCCAAAATGACACAATATGGATATATTTCATTATTTCACTATTATGGCTTCTATCCCATATCTTCTAAGGAGTTCAGGGTAGTGTATGTGGTTTTCCAAAGCTTTGCTATTAGAATATTTATTTATTTACAGTATTTGTAATCCGCCCTTCTCACCCCGCAGGGGACTCAGGGCAGATTACAATGTACATATACATGACAAACATTCAATGCCATAGACACACAATATATATAAAAAGACACACAGAGGATATTTAATATTCCAGCTTTTCTTGAGGGTATTCTGGCCACCAGGGGAGCTGTAGCTTCAGGGTCCAATTGTGACACTGATGAAGTACTTCCTCATTCTTTGCATGCTTGCTGGAGATTTTTATGGCGTTATAAATTAGCGTAGGTGGTACCTAAGTTTCCTACTTGACAGATGCAACTGTCTTTTGGGCTGAAAAGGTCAACAGCAAGCTACACAACTTGGTCAGAAGCTCACTCCGACTTGGGCTGGCTTCGAACTCATGACCTTTTGGTCAGTAGTGATCTTAATGCAGCTGACTCCCAGCCAGCTGGCCACTGTCCCAGTGCTATGTGATTGTTATATACCCAAAATGACACAATATGGATATATTTCATTATTTCACTATTATGGCTTCTATCCCATATCTTCTAAGGAGTTCAGGGTAGTGTATGTGATTTTCCAAAGCTTTGCTATTAGAATATTTATTTATTTATTTATTTGCAGTATTTGTAATCCGCCCTTCTCACCCCGCAGGGGACTCAGGACGGATTACAACGTACATATACATGGCAGACATTCAATGCCATAGACACACAACATATATAGACAGACACACAGAGGATATTTAACATTCCAGCTTTTCTTGAGGGTATTCTGGCCACCAGGGTAGCTGTCACTTCACCATCCATTTGTGACACTGATGAAGTATTTCCTCATTCTTTGCATGCTTGCTGGAGATTTTTATGGCGTCATAAATTAGCCTCCCCGCATAAGCGGTACCTAAGTTTCCGAACTGTCTTTTGGGCTGCAAAGGTCGACAGCAAGCTACACAAACTGGTCGGAAGCTCACTCTGACCCGGGCTTGCTTTGAACTCATGACCTTTTGTTCAGTAGTGCTCTTAATGCAGCTGACTCCCAGCGAGCTGCGCCACAGTCCTGGTGTCATTATGCTTCAGTGTGAGCTGTGTAGCTTTTGGGCAATTCCTTCCATTTCAGGAGTACAGTAGATCTGCTCTGGTGTTTGATCCAAGTTTTAAAGATGGTACCCAGGATTGTGAGCAAGTCTCATTCTGACTGATAAAGATGTCAAGAACATCACCATATTAAGGGAAAGGCCATAGCTTAGTGGTAAAGCACATTCTTTGCATGTTATAAGTCCATAACTGAAAACCTGGCACCCACAAGGGAATTTTTTTTGGAGAGATGAGGCTAGAAACCGTAACCCAATAATGCTTAGAGGGCCACACATGCCACACATGTCTGTTTTTATATTGTTTTTGTATTGTTTATATGGTTTTATATTGTTTTATATTGTTGTTATTATTACATTGCTGTTAATTGTATATTTATGTTTTGATGTGGGGGCCGTGGGGTGCCACTTTGTTAGCCGAGTCCCTCTGCAGCGGTTGAGAAAGGACAGGATATAAAAGCCCTAAATAAATAAATAAATAAAGCGTGTCTTACATAGCTGGATTCGTCCATTTACATCATGAATGGGCAATAATATATCTGATTGGCATTAGTGTGTAATTCCCACCAGCCCAAGGCAGCAGAACTAGGCTTGGTTGATCTGGTTCAGCAGCTTCTAAAATCGGAATGAATTCGTATTTAAATGATTTTAGAAACAATTTCGATCCATGCTGGAATAGTGTGAGGAGTAATTACAAATTGAAACAATTTACCCATTTTTCGGAATTATTTTCGGAATTATTTTTGGATTTATTTATTTCTCGTGTCAGGGCAGCCAGTCAATTATATTACATTTCTAACAGAACAAAGCAAACAAACAGACAAAATACAAAATTTGTGAGTTTGGTAGTTGATTAAATGTCCTTTGACCAGTATCTGGCCACTTGGAGTGCCTCTGGTGTTGCTGCAAGAAGGTCCTCCATTGTGCATGTGGCAGGGCTCAGGTTGCATTGCAGCAGGTGGTCAGTGGTTTGCTCTTCTCCGCACTCGCATGTCGAGGATTCCACTTTGTGGCCCCATTTCTTAAGGTTGGCTCTGCATCTCGTGGTGCCAGAGCGCAGTCTGTTCAGCACCTTCCAAGTCGCCCAGTCCTCTGTGTGCCCAGGGGGGAATTTCTCATTTGGTATCAGCCATTGGTTGAGGTTCTGGGTTTGAGCCTGCCACTTTTGGACTCTCGCTTGCTGAGGTGTTCCAGCGAGTGTCTCTGTAGATCTTAGAAAACTATTTCTTGATTTAAGTCGTTGACGTGCTGGCCGATACCCAAACAAGGGATGAGCTGGAGATGTCTCTGCCTTGGTCCTTTCACTATTGGCTGCTACTTCCCGGTGAGGATGTCTGGTCAAGGTTTACAATCTTGCAGTTTTCCTGGCCTCCCTGGTAACAAGGGGCGATGCGGAAGGGCGAGGTGGGTGTGGCTATGTCCAGCTCTTCCTGAAGGCCACGCCCCCAGTGGCCATCAAGAAGAGCTGGGCGTAGCCCAGGGTGTCTGCGAAGGGCGATGGATGGCAGGGGAATGAGGTGAGCGTGGCTACTCCCAGCTCTTCTTGACGGCCACTGGGGGTGAGGCCTTCAGGAAGAGCTGGGTGTAGCCACACCCACCTCGCCCTTCCGCATCGCCGCTTGTCACCAGGGAGGCCAGGGAAACTGTGAGATTGTAAAGTTTGCACCAGATTTACAATCTCGCAGTTTCCCTGGCCTCCCTGGATGGGTGACTGCGAACGGCGATGGGTGGCAGGGAAATGAGGTGGGCGTAGCTATGCCCAGCTCTTCCTGATGGCCACTGAGGGGAAACCGCATCACTGCTTGTCGCCAGGGAGGCCAGGGAAACTGCGAGATTTAAACTAACAGGGGGGAGGGCACCTTCCATTAATGAAGTAAACGAAGCTATTCAGATTTTTGCTATTTCTGATCTTTTTTTCAAGAAAATTTGAGAAATCATTTTAAAATCGAAACACCAGCTATATACGAAACTACTTTAGAACTATTTTTTTTCTTGATCAACCAAGCCTAAGCAGAACCCTTGGTGAAGAAACATGGAGACCTCCCATCATCCACCCTTGACTTACACATCCTTTGGGGTAACCCTTTCTCATCCATTGCCTATGCCTGCTGCACTGCTAGACAAAATGAACCCTTTCCTGCAATAGTAGAAAATGGAAAGCCTTTGTTTTGTTTTTGTTTTTTTGCCTTGCTGTTTGGGGACAATAGGGGGTTGTTGTCTGAAATAATAACTTCTCAGGTTTTGAGTGATAATGCTCTCTGCGGACTGGCAGAAAAATTAAATTTTTCCTCCCTTCTTTTTTTAATAGTTTCTCAAAGGTCATGCACCAAACAGTAAAGGATCTGGCTCCCAAATGCAATGTGACATTCCTTCTTTCGGAAGACGGCAGTGGCAAAGGGGCTGCTCTCATCACGGCCGTGGGTTGCAGACTCCGAGAAGCTGAGCATAACTGAATTTTGCAGCATCGGCGTCTTCTGCCTTCTGAGCACTTTCTTGTAAAGCAGCAGTCCTGCAGTCTGAACTGGTGGGAGAAGCCCAGAATTCAGCTGCTTTTATGGAAGAGTTGGGAGTTAAACAAAAATAAATAAAAATAGGATACTGAATAGAGTGTGCTGTTGCTGATAACGTCCCCCACCGTTGAGTCCCTGTCTGCATGTGTCTTTTTCTTCCCTATTTGGTACATTCCCCATGTGTAGATCATTAAAAAAAAGTTCTGTGGTTTAAACAGAAGTCCAAAATGAGCTTATTTTTTCAGGATTAGAATTTCAGTTCACAAAGATGAGCAGGCGGTGTCAAGCGTATTCTTTCCAGCTGCTACCATATCCATGTTAAATAAACACACCACCAACAATGCTGTGTATGAGATAAATGCTTTTGCAGTTGAGAATAGCAGTTCGCTTCTGAGTTTTTAGACTCACACTGATCGAGTTTCTCCCCCGCCACCAACTCTCACTGCCATGAAGCAGAACAGTGTCTTTGTGTACTTCTCTATAGTCAGGTTTCTTTGAATAACCTGAATGGTCACTTCTGTGCATGTTCAGTCACAGGGAAAAGAAAACAAATGACCATGTGTTCTGTACTGTTGGCATCTCACATTGCTTTGGTAAACGAGACTATCTTTCCAAATAAAAATGCTATTATTTTGTAGTCTTTTAAAAAAATTATGAATAAAATTAAACGAGTGCTTGAGCAAGGGTAATCCATATCTCTAGTCATGAGAAATCAGAAGATTGATATGTTCCTTGCTTGGTTTTGGTATGTACCAATTCCAGAAAACAATGGTTGCCTTTAAAGTTAAAGGGATTTCTGATGTTCCTTCTTCATATTCTGTACCTTCTTGAGAACCGATTCCTGAATAAAATTCTAAGATCTTGGACAGTCTTTGAAGTACAGGGTGCGGCAGCATAACTTCCTTTTTTAAAATGTGCGCCATTCAGTCGGTTGAAGACGTAGCAGAGCGCTAGTGGTCTCGTTTGAGAGGCGGGAGTATAAAGTTTTGTCCTGACACAGTTCAGTCGCCATCATGCGTTGGAACAGTGAGGAGCGTGCTTTTGCCTTTGAGGCCTACTTTTCGAGCGGATGTTCTGTGATCACAACCCAGCGTGCCTTTCGGAATCGCTTTAATTTAGCCCCATTGGCCCCTGTCCCAGACGAGAAATCAATTGTGATGTGGGTCACTACATTCAGACAGTGGTCTCGTTCGAGAGTAGTCTCGTTTGATACGCAGGAGTATAAAGTTTTGTCCTGACACAGTTCAGTCGCCATCATGCGTTGGAACAGTGAGGAGCATGCTTTTGCCGTTGAGGCCTACTTTTCGAGTGGATATTCTGTGATCGCAACCCAGCGCGCCTTTCGGAATCGCTTTAATTTAGCCCCATTGGCCCCTGTCCCGGACCAGAAATCAATTGTGACGTGGGTCACTACATTCAGACAGTGGTCTCGTTCGAGAGTGGTCTCGTTCGAGAGGCGGGAGTATAAAGTTTTGTCCTGACACAGTTCAGTCGCCATCATGCGTTGGAACAGTGAGGAGCGTGCTTTTGCTGTTGAGGCCTACTTTTCTAGTGGATGTTCTGTGATCTCAACCCAGCACACCTTTCGGAATCGCTTTAATTTAGCTCCATTGGCCCCTGTCCCGGACCAGAAATCAATTGTGACATGGGCCACTACATTCAGACAAGTGCAACAAGATGAAGAACTGGATGAAGTCCCTCGGCCCATTAGATCACCTGAGAACATTGAGGCAGTGAGAGCTTCAATGTTGCGATCACCACGGCGTTCTGCGTCTGCCCTTAGACTTTCCGATCGTTCTGTGAGGAGAATTCTTCATGATGATCTTCATTTCCATTCTTACAAGATGGCAATTGTGCAGAAACTTTCAGAAAGTGACTTCAATTGTCGGAGGAATACGCATGAGGTTCTTCTCGAAGTCATTCCTGAAGATGCTATTGTTTTTTTAGTGATGAAGCCCATTTTCATTTGTGTGGATCCATCAACAAACAAAACATGCGCTACTGGGCTGACAACAATCCTCGAGAATTGCATCAAAGGCCTTTGCATTCACCTAAAATCACAGTGTGGTGTGCAATTTCCTCAGCTGGAATTATTGGTCCCTGGTTCTTTGAGGAAAATGAAGTCGCAGCGACAGTGAATTCGGACTGGTATGTAAACATGTTACAGGAATTTTTTCCCCACGGCTAGACAGGTTGGACCTAGAGGACATCTGGTTCCAACAAGACGGTGCAACTGCACACACTTCAAGAGCATCGATGGCTGTTTTGAGGGAACACTTCCCAGAGCGCCTCATCTCAATTAGGGGGGATTTGGAGTGGCCGGCCCGCTCTCCAGATTTGACCCCTTGTGATTTTTTTCTATGGGATTTTTTGAAATCCCTCGTTTATGTGAACCGTCCAAGACCCTACAAGATTTGAAGACCAACATCCAGGAAGAAATTGCCAACATAACGCCTGCTATGCTGGCAAGAGTCATGACAAACGCCAGAAATCGGTTTACTCAGTGTATGGAGAATGGGGGACGTCACCTACCTAATTTGATCTTCAAAACTACGTAAAACAAAACTTTAGGTATGCGCCTACATTATTTATATAAAAAATTCTGATTCATACAATGGGTTTTATTAAGTTTTGAAAAAAGGAAGTTATGCTGCTGCACCCTGTAGTTGCATGAGTGGAGATCTCATTAGATGTGATGGCAGTTGTCTATAGACAGGCTATTGGATTCCTCTTGGTTTTATATGTGGAAAAAATTACATCAGTGCAGGGCCAATGGCAGGACCGAAGAAGTAGTGAATTCTCCAGCTCCCTGGTACCTCTGCTCTGTCTTCTTGCCAGCTTAGACTATTGGATATAGTAGAGTAATAATAATAGTATTAATAATAACTTTATTTAGTAGGTTCTTGTGGGTTTTCGGGCTATATGGCCATGTTCTAGAGGCATTTCTCCTGACGTTTCGCCTGCATCTATGGCAAGCATCCTCAGAGGTGAGGGCTGTTGGAACTGGGAAAAAGGGTTTTTATAAAAGGGATATATAAACCCTTTTCCCAGTTCCAACAGACCTCACCTCTGAGGATGCTTTCCATAGATGCAGGCGAAATGTCAGGAGAAATGCCTCTAGAACATGGCCATATAGCCTGAAAAAACCCACAAGAACCTAGTGATTCCAGCCATGAAAGCCTTCGACAATACAACTTTATTTATATTCCGCTCTATCTCCCCAAAGGGACTCAGGGCGGATTCCAAACATAAAAAGCAATCATTCAATGCCCGAATACCTCAACAATACATCCATACTAACGAAATTTATACAACCCAACATATAAATACGAATTATAACTTAAACTAAAATTAAAAAGCACAGCCTGTTATAACAGACATAAGACAAAACATCAAATGGAAACAATAATTTCCAATTTCTTTGGAGCAAATCGATACAGGTTTATGGTAGCAGTGGCTGGGAAGCCTTCTGCCATTTTGATTTTACCATAGGGTCCAAAATAACATCCCTGGACCAGGAGTGGGAAACCTGTTGTTGGACTTCAATAGATGTTGACTAGAGACAGGGGCGGCTCAACCATTACGCAAAGTAAGCATTTGCAGTATAGTTGATTTTGCCCAGGGGCGCTCTTGAGGCGTTCTTGAAGGAAAATAGACCTTGACATGCAAGTTGTAGTTACTGGGATGTATAGTTCACCTACAATCAAAGAGCCTTCTGAACTCCACCAATGATGGAATTGAACCAAATATGGCACACAGAACTCCCACGATGAACAGTGATTGATTGGTTGGGGGGGGGGGGGGGCAAAATATTGTTTGCTTACTGTTGAAAATGACCTAGGGCCGCCTCTGACTAGAGATGAAGTCCAACAACATCTGGGGCACATTTTCACCTATTCTCTAGAAAATTTGGGGGAAATGAAAAGTAGAACAAATGGTTGGTTAAGAGAATCAATTGAACCACATGCATGAGTCTGAGTCTACTTGAGGGTGCTTTATGGTGGTAAGGGGGCTCCCAAGATACATCAGTGATTTAATACTCATGCTATGGTTTCATGTAGCAGAATTCACACAGTTGCGGAATAAAAGTCTTTGCCTTAGTATGAGTCTACAGCCAAATCATCTTGTGTATGAAAAGGTAATCCACTCAAACCTTCCATTAACATTGGTACTGATTGTATTAAAATCACCGTGATTTTAGTGAAGTTGGATACACCTATGATATGTTGGAAATTTATGTTTCTTGGCAAGTTGTAAAAATGAATTTAACTCAGAATACAGAAATAGTTTCATTTAACATGGATATCTATCTAGTCTTTGCTTCCATCTACCATAGGTTTGGTTGAGTCTGGGCAGGGTGTTTGGAATACCATTGCTAGCGTGTTGCACCAAAGAAGTCTGTGTAAAATGCAGAAAATCTCATTTTTTTTTTTGTCTGAAAATTGCATAAATGTCAAATAAGTTAGTATTTTGAGAAGAACCAACGGTCTGCAATTAGTCTTAGAAATAGCCCACAGTCACGGTCCTTCTCTTCTTCAACATGACTTGACAAGATCTCACCAAGTATTGACGTAGGATTGCAACCTATTTTTTCTCTCTCAACCCTAAGATTTGGATTCTCCTCGCTTCTAACAAACATTTTCAATACGCATTATGGTGCACAGTGAACAAATGTGTGGTAATATGAGTCACAAACAATAACCTGAGCTTTAAATGTGTGTGTGTGTGCGTATGTGTGCGTGTGCATACATGTGAAGAGTTGCATGGTTACCTGGTTTTGCAATGCTAGAGCCTTTTTACCTTGCCCACTGGTAGCAATGATTCTGGTGCAAAGTGGAATTTTTGTGACACTATTAAACCGTTTTTCAATGTGTGTCTCTTGGTGTCTGGTGATTCTTTCTGGCAAAGGGACGACTAATGCCCAGGATGGGAAACAGTGCCAATGTCTTGGTAAAGTAATGAAATCCAACTATGAAACTTCCATTATTCCTTTTTGGAAAAGCCTTGTAGACACTTGTATACCAGTTCAAGGATCTTTCTTGAGGAGTGTCAGTCCCCATCTACTTCCATACACTTACTTAAGCGATCCCTCATTGTCCGAGTAGGATAATATTCCAGGGTGGGTCCATAGGTGACTATGGAGCCCTATTCTTGATCTGCATTGTCTCCTGCAGTCGGGCATGTAGTCGGGGGGGGGGGGGGGGGGCTTGAGGGGCTTCAGCCCCCCCCCCCCCGAAATTCTCATGGTGGTTCGCGAAAAGGCCTTACTGGTGCATTATTTAAACTGTTATGTTTATTCATATCATGATCTGATCACCATACTCAATGTATCCCATATGCATGGGGGTATTGTGGTAACGATACAAAAGGTTTGCTAGGGTAGGCCTTCTTTCACTCAGACTCAGCCCCCCCCCCCCAAATCAAATCCTTGCATGTTCTCCTGCAGTGAGGGCATTGGTTTCCAGGTGGAAGGCGGTCCCGGTCGGGGTTGGCTTGACGCGCCTTCCTCTGGCACGTTTCTCTCTTTCACCCTCCATTCGTGCCTCTTCAAATTCTGCAGCACTGCTGGTCACAGCTGACCTCCAGCTGGAGCGCTCAAGGCCAGGGCTTCCCAGTTCTCAGTGTCTATGCCAAAGGTTGGCTTTGAGCCCATCTTTAAATCTCTTTTCCTGTCCTCCAACATTCCGTTTTCCATCTTCTGTTTTGGAAGATGGTGGTCAGGCATCTGGACAACGTGGCCAGTCCAGCGGAGTTGATGGCGGAGGACCATCACTTCAATGCTGGTGGTCTTTGCTTCTTCCAGCACTCTGACATTTGTCCGCTTGTCTTCCCAAGAGATTTGCAGGATTTTCCGGAGGCAGCGCTGATGGAATCATTCCAGAAGTTGCATGTGATGTCTGCAGACAGTCCACGTTTCACAGGCATATAGCAGGGTTGGGAGGACAATAGCTTTATAAACAAGCACTTTGGGAGACAGAATGGAGCCTTGCAGGACCCCACAGGTCAAAGGCCAGGGGTCCGAGCAGGCGTCTCCCAGCTTCACCATCTAGGATCGACCCTCCAGGAAGGACCGGAGCCATGACAAAGCCATACCTCCAAGGCCCATCCCGGAAAGTCGTCCCAGAAGGATACCCTGATCGATGGTATCGAAGCCGGTGAGATGTCCAAGAGAACCAACAGGGTCACACTCCCCCTGTCACACTCCCCCGTCCAGCTCCCTACAGACGATCATCCACCAAGGCGACCAAAGCCGTCTCGATGCCATGGCCAGGCCTGAAGCCAGACTGTGACTGATCCAGATAGTTGATGTCATCCAGGAAGCCCTGGAGCTGAGCAGCGACCACCTGCTCCAACACCTTGCCCAGGAAAGGGAGGTTTGAGATTGGTCTATAGTTATTCAAGACCGTGGAATCAAGGGAAGTCTTTTTCAGGAGTGGTCTGACCACAGCCTGTTTTAAGCCCTAGGCAGGAAGCAGCTAGGTTTTCAAGCTGCAAGGCTATTCAATGCTAATCAAGGTAGCCAATTGCAACATTTGTACTTGCCTCAAACAGACAAGAGTTCTTTCTCCCACCCTGGACACTCCACAGATATATCAAACTCACTTGCCTAATTTCCAACAAACCTCACAACCTCTGAGGATGGGCGAAACATCAGGAGAGAATGCTTCTGGAACATGACTATACAATCCAGAAAACTCACATCAACCCAATGTTTATATAACTTAAATTTACTTTTTTAAGTGGAAAGAGGAGGACGTTAAACATTTCCTAGTTCACGTAACCATTTAATGCTCTTCCTGTCTTCATTTAGCTGGAAGAAAGTATTCACTTGAAGGTTATTTCCAGAAGTTGATAAAAGAACATTCTTTTCTATCTCTTCTTTAAAACTACTTTTTTTGGGGCAAGAAATATCTCTATATAATCTTTACTGAGTATTTTCGTAATACATAATAGTTAAAAAAAAGAAGTTTAAGAGAGAAAAGGAAAAGGAAAAAGAAGAGAAAAAAAGAAGAAGGGGCAGAAAAAAGGGAAGAAAAGGGTGAATTAAAAACAATAAGAAACAAAGATCATAAATATCAACAGTTGAGTTATTTTGTGATACAAAACAATATTGAACAAGTCTCTATATAAAGTCAAACATTTCTTTATTAAGTGAGATATACTTTGTCACCTTATAAACTACAATAAATATTTAAAGTCTATTACAGTACACTGTCTTATTGCAATGTCTACTGAAGTATAACAAGGATCTGTTATGTCATCTATTTTATTTTTTTCAAAAAATTTATATACTGAATATTTTTTTAAATGGTACGGTTCCTCTCTTTCCTTTGCTGGAGTGATGCTTTTCTGTTCTGTCATGCACTGGGCCTGTAAAGAATTTCCTTTAGAACAGGACGTGCAACCTTTGCCCAGCGGGAAGCCAGGGGGCCCAAGGAGAAGTTCTCAGAGGTTTTCCACTACAAATGATCTTTAGATGGCTTGTGAAGTATAACAAAGTCCTTTATTAATGAACAATCAAACAGAAACTTCTCTTGTCTTCAATAAAGCTAAACAAATGATTCCAGGCTTTTATGCAACTGGTAGCTTCCTAAACTTGCCCACGAAGGACAGGCAACTGTCTTCAATAACTTCTTTACTTTAAAGGAAAGTCCCCTTTTTAACTTCTCCCAGGCTGACTGTAATCTAACCCTTACTGATGTGGGCTCCGCTACCGGGTCGAACTGCTTCTCGAACACCGAGTGGACCTACCAGTAAAGGCTTAGATGTTCTCCAGCTGGAGTTCTTTGGTCTTTAGGGCTGTTTCTCTGGAAATCTTTGGAGACTCTTAAGACTGTTCTCCCCGGAAGTCTTGGATGCTCTTAAGACTGTTTCCCCCCGGAAAGTCTTAAGGGTTGAAGCTTTTGTACAGGGGAAGCTTGCACACGTCCTGTACATTAGCTTTCCTTGCTGAGACTAACTAAAACATGGCTCCCTTCCCTTCCCAATTGCCCTGAGCAAGGGGCGGAACCAAAACTTAACGATGATGGACAGGTGACTTGCCCTATGACTGCAACCAAAGGAGGCCACCTATCTGCAGAGTCCCTGAAACCTAGGACTGCAAACAAACATTTAATACAAAGAAAATAAAGTTGGAGTTCCTGGTACAACCGTATCAGCACATTTTCCTTTCATGTTAATGTTTTTATATTCTACCTTTCTTTTGGCCTGGGATTTATACCGAGCCGTTCCTCTGACAAAGAGCTCACAAAATCTAACATCAAAGTTTAGTTTAAAACTTATTGTACAAAGGTACAAAAATTAAATGACAATTGTATAAAAACACACATGGTTAAATCACATTAAAAGAGTTTTAAAGCATAACTGAAATAACAAATGCATAAGATAAAAACACAGCACACCACTTTCAAATGCCTTGCATTAAAGTTCAAAGCTCTGCCAAAGTAGAAAGGTCTTAGTCTGATGGTGAAAAGACAGCAGGAGGGGGATAGCTGGATGTCCCGTTGCACATATGGGAAAGAGCTTGGGGAAATTACTTTTAGGGGGTACAACTGCCAGGTGTCCTCAGGAAACATGGGCATCCATGATGCCATTCAAAGTGTCAGCTTTCCGAGCTCTGGTTCAGCGCTCCTGTCACATAATGAGAAATAAAAGTACTTATTAGTCTTGTAGCAACTGATAGCATTCATAGTGCGCATTCAGAAGAAGATCTACAAGCCACTCTAAACACCTTCGCAGAAACATACGAGAAGCTCGGCCTGTCATTGAACATTGAAAAAAACCAAGGTGCTGTTCCAGCAGACACCAGCCAATCCCTCTCCAATGCCAGAGATACAGCTTAATGGCGTAACATTAGAAAATGGCAGCCACCTCTCCACCAAAGTCAACATCGAAACTGAAATACAATACCGCCTGAGCTCTGCGAGCGCAGCATTTTTCCGAATGAAGCAGAGAGTGTTTGAGGACCGGGACATCCGTAGGGATACCAAGGTGCTTGTTTATAGAGCTATTGTCCTCCCGACCCTGCTATATGCCTGTGAGACGTGGACTGTCTACAGACATCACATGCAACTCCTGGAATGATTCCATCAGCGCTGCCTCCGGAAAATCCTGCAAATCTCTTGGGAAGACAGGCGGACAAACGTCAGTGTGCTGGAAGAAGCAAAGACCACCAGCATTGAAGTGATGGTCCTCCGCCATCAACTCCGCTGGACCGGCCACGTTGTCCGGATGCCCGACCACCGTCTCCCAAAGCAGTTGCTCTACTCCGAACTCAAGAATGGAAAACGGAATGTTGGTGGGCAGGAAAAGAGATTTAAAGATGGGCTCAAAGCCAACCTTAAAAACTCTGGCATAGACACTGAGAACTGGGAAGCCCTGGCCCTTGAGCGCTCCAGCTGGAGGTCAGCTGTGACCAGCAGTGCTGCAGAATTTGAAGAGGCACACATGGAGGGTGAAAGAGAGAAATGTGCCAAGAGGAAGGGGTGTCAAGCCAACCCCGACCGAGACCGCCTTCCACCTGGAAACCAATGTCCTCACTGTGGAAGAAGATGCAGAGCAAGAATAGGACTCCACAGCCACATACGGACCCACAAGAATGCTGGAAGACAATCATCCTCGGAAAACGAGGGATTGCCTAAGAAGAAAAACAACAGTATACTCGGCCGCAAGTGATTTCCCATGACGGTGGTACAATGGTATCAGAACTGAAAGAAGCAAGTAGCAAAGGGAAAGGATGAAGAGAATGATAATAATAATAATAATAATCATCATCATCATCATCATCGACAAAATCACGATCTGTCAACTGCAAAAGGCCACCTTACTTGGATCTGCGCGCATCATTCGAAAATACATCACACAGTCCTAGACGCTTGGGAAGTGTTCAACTTGTGATTTTGTGATATGAAATCCAGCATATAGATCTCGTTTGCTGTGACATACTGTGCTTTTGTGTCAATAAAAATAATAATAATAATTCTGGCAGCCGAAGAACAAGCGATTAGAACAAACGGCATCAAAGCCAGAATTGAAAAGTCAACAACAGATTCCAAATGTAGACTCTGCAAGGAAGCAGATGAAACAATAGATCACATCCTCAGCTGCTGCAAGAAGATTGCAGACAGACTACAAGCAGAGGCACAACACCGTTGCGCAGAGGATTCATTGGAACTTGTGCCACAAATACCATCTGCTCGCGACAAAGAACTGGTGGGATCACAAGCCGGGAAAAGTTACAGAAAATGAACACAAAAAACTCCTCTGGGACTTTCGCATTCAGGCAGACAGAGTTTGGGAGCACAATACTCCTGACCTCACGATCGTGTTAAAAAACAAAGTATGGATCGTCGATGTTGCAATTTCAGATGACAGCAGGATTGCAGAGAAACAACTGGAAAAGCTGACATGATATGAGGATTTAAAGATCAAACTGCAAAGTCTCTGGCACAAGCCAGTCAAGGTGGTCCCAATGGTGATCGGCACACTGGGTGCAGTGCCTAAGGACCTTGGCCTGCACTTAAACACAATCAGCGCTAACAAAATCACCATCTGCTAGCTGCAGAAGGCCACCTTACTGGGATCTGCACGCATTATTCGCCGATACATCACACAGTCCTAGACACTTGGGAAGTGTCTGACATGTGATCCAATTCAACAGCCAGAAGAGTTTCTGCTGTGAACTCATCTTGTTGTGTTTCTAATAATAATAATAATAATAATAATAATAATAATAATAATAATGAAATTTCTTCTTTCAGGAACACAGTCCCTTTAGCTCCCAGAGATGGGATTTCGTTCTTCTTTGAAATTCTTATTTTAAAAATGGGGTGGAGGCGGTTGGACAGACTCAGCCGAGTCTGATCCTGTGGAGCAGCCCACTCCCCTTTTGGTGCTCTCAAACCTTTTGATCTCCCCCTTAAAGGAGAGGACCTTGCGGTCTTCAAAGCACCTAGGGGATTTGCGTGCACCTTCGCCTTCGATCCGGTTGAAGGTGGGGAGCTATAGCTCAACCTCGCCGCTTAGCACAGGTCCTCCCTGAGAGAGCTTTCCCTCTACGAGGCTTCCCCTGTCGCCATTCCCACCACTAACTCCTTCTCTCCAATCCCACAGTGAATTCAGCCTGGAAGGATATCCACATGCCCAAAAGTCCAGATTTTTTGTTTTAAAACCTTGGATTAAAAGGCAAAGTTTTTGAAATGGTTTAAATCCTGAAGAAACACATTGTAAATGAATTGTCTCAAATATTTGATATCAGAATCATAGTCCCTACAAAGTGAGAAACCATGAAATGAACAAAATCTGACTACCAGTATTAAAAAAATTCTGAAATTATAACAGTAAATAAAGAACAACACTCAAACACAGGGGAACTCCAGACAAGAAACAATCAGGGACAGCTAATCACCTCTCAAGAAAGGATTTCCCCAGGCAGTAACAAATCTCACATAAAAACTGTCAGGCCATCAAATGCTAATGTAGGTTGTCAATGGAAACGTTGAACACCTAACTCCAACAGACAAGAGTTCTTTCTCCCATCCTGAACTTTCCACAGATATATAAACCCCATTTTCCTAGTTTCCAACAGACCTCACAACCCCTGAGGATGCCTGCCACAGATGCAGGCAAAATGTCAGGAGAGAATGCTTCTAGAACATGGCCAAACAGCCCGAAAAATCTACAAAACCCAGTGACAATACATCTCCGTATGTATTTCTGTGTCATTGTTTATTTGAATATTTGTCTGGGTATTGAATATTTGTCTGGGTCTGTATATGCTGGAATCCGCCTTGAGTGCCCTCAGGGAGATGGGGCAGAATACAAATAGTGTTGTTGTTGTTGTTGTTGTTGCTTTAAACACAACGAGATGAGTCCACAGCAGACAAAATCACTCTGCTGGCTGTTGTATTGGATCACACGTCAGACACTTCCCAAGTGTCTAGGACTGTGTGATGTATCGGCGAATAATGCGTACAGATCCCAGTAAGGTGGCCTTCTGCAGCTGGCAGATGGTAATTTTGTCAGCGCCGAATGTGCTTAAGTGCAGGCCAAGGTCTTTAGGCACTATACCCAGTGTGCCAATCACCACTGAGACCAACTTGACTGGCTTGTGCCAGAGTCATTATTATTATTATTATTATTATTATTATTATTATTGCAGTATAGATGGGTCTTAGTTAAGTGTAATGTTATGCTATAAAATGTTGACGAACCATTTATCTTGATGAATTGTATTGCATGCATCCCACACTACAAAGAACACTCAAAATTGGGCAGCTATTACTAACAAAATCTGCAATGATAAAACATGATGAGAAGCAACCATTTGGAAACTCAAACTACCAAATGCACATTACTGAATGATATCTTGTCGCTAGGTAGCTGTGTTCCTGTGCTTGTTTGGAGGTTGGAGGTCTGGTCTCTCTGGATCTTCTGTAAAGGTGATGGATATGTCAGGTTACGTTTATCTCTTTCCGTTGCATTGATGCACGGGCAACATTGAAAAGCCACCCTGAAACCAGAACGGAATCTATAAACCAGAAAAAAACATAAACAAAGTATTAAATGACAGAGACGGGAGAACACTTTCCCATGGTGTAATGACTGGGAACAGCATGGCATCAGTAAAGTGGGGTGAACCTAAAGTGGGTAAGCGGTTCCAGCCCAACTTACCTATCTGAACGTGTCTCCCCTTACGAATCTTTCAGGAATTTAAGATCATCTGGGGAGGCCCTGCTCTCGATCCCACCTGCCTCAAAGGCACGCTTGATGGGGACGAGGGACAGGGCCTTCTCAGTGGTGGCCCCTCAGCTGTGGAACTCCCTTCCTGGGGATATTAGAT